TCAAACGGTGTACTATGAAAAACCCAACCGCGGCTTTTGGTAGAATTAAATTGTAATGTGATCGCCATCATAAACAGGGCGATCGGGTTCTTAAACGTATAAACGGGAAAATCGGATAACCGGCACAATGATTTATTTTCAAGCGGCGATATATCTTCCTGTTGGGAAAAAACACAAAAGAATGTTGACGGTTAAACGGGGATATTAGGAAAAAGCCACAGCCGATCGTTTGATTTTGTAAAGGAATTTTATTCTTCATGTAATTCGAAACCGGCAACAAAGCACGCGGTTGTAAGACGAATACGTAAGACTTATTTAAAGTCATAAACGTATTGTCAATTACGTAAAAATTTGCTTTGAACGTTTTCGTGAAACTAAACTATCGACGATCTTACCAACCAATATGACAATATTTAAAGACTACGAAGGATACGGCAAGCTAGTAATTTTATAGAGAAAGTGCGAATTAAAGATGGTGCATTCTATCCGTTTAAAAGCGCTATATTTTTTAGAAGTTAAGTAACGCTTATTTTCTTTAAGATTCTATTTAAAAATTGCACTTTTTTAGTCGGTATTTATATTTTATTTTTTACCGCTTTTTTCCCTGCACTGTTGGTCTGTTTTTCGACACAGAGCAAAAACAACCGGCCGCGGCATACACTCGACAAGGATCCTTGAAACGGTTGACACGGATACAACGCGCCGTTCGAGTGTCGCCCATTTGCCCTAACCCCGCACGGAGCACGCTCCGATCGCGGGGTTTTTTTCTCTCCAGTGTCCCCGCGCGTCACGACGAACGTGGGAGACCCGTCAACTACACTCTCTCTCAAATAGTCTCAATATAATTGTGACAGGCTTCCCGATGCTGCAGCCGGATACAAGGCAGCCCATTAATAATGTTCAAGGAAAACAGATTGACGGACAAGTATGCCATCTGTACATCAGGCTACACGGCTCTAAACAGGCATGTGACAAGCCGGGAATGCCAGCGCCGAATTCCGTAATGCCGCGCTGCCTGAATAATGATGCCTGCCAACGCGGCGGAAAACACACGCTCTTTTCATGGAGGACATTTTTAACAATATCGCTATTGCCCGTTTATTGCGCACGTCAGCGCAATGGGTTTTTGGCAACACTTGTTTACATAATAAAAAATTTTAACGTTGATTTGATTGACTATTCAAAAATTATACTGCTGACTTCACTCACAATAAATTATTAAAAATAAATCGATCAGAATCCGATAAATGTACTGCGTTATTTTTCCATAAATATGCGGTTATTGATTTTTCGCATTATTGGGCAAAATAGAGATTAATTCGATGGAGCATCCGCGTGTGATAATTACCGCACTTTGGTTACTTAAAGAAGACACAGTCTTAATTTTTATGTATTATTATTAATTGGTATTTACTGTTATTAGCAGAAGCTAGTTATTTAAAATACAGAGATGGCCATCTTCATCGTTAAAATAAATAAACAGGGTATTCATTTTTTCTGCATTACTGTGCAAAGAAAAATTCGAAGCACGATCACTATTTTAATAATTAACGGATTGCCTGGTAAAAAGCTGTTTGGAAAGACGAGCCGCAGATCGTAAAAGAGCCGTTGTAAAATTGCTAAATGTCCGCGCGACATTTTGCCGCTCGGCTGAATCGGCATTCAGCGTAGTGTTTGCGGCGGCTGCCGGCACATTGGCAGCCCATAATTAGCGGCACGCAATTATGACGTGCATGTCAGGCCGTGGTCAAAAGGGAGCAACAAGCTAATTATTTGCATGCGCCCGCTGACAATTAGCCCCATCATCCCGGCAACAGTTTGTAAACAACCGGTTATTACGGGCTTCACTGCGCAACGCGCCGATCGCTCGTTACTTCACTGTCACTCGCAAAACATTTTGCTCATTTCGGCTATGACAAACTTTCATCGTTGCGCATTCATTCGTTTTGCACTCACCTTTATCAACGCCGGGAAAACGCCGGGATCTCAAACAAGGAAATGGCGAAAAATAAAACCGATCGAATCTACAAGAGAAAAGTTTATTTATATGTAGAAAATTCGGGTGAAAAAAATAATCAGAATTTAAGAAAATTATGACAATGTATTTAATTTAATAATTACGTACGTTGTTAAACCGTCACAACGCAGGATAGTTGTCGATTAATAATCGACGGATGGATAATCCACACGGCAGAATTCAGTTCAGCAACGGCACAACGGATTGACTATGAATAACACATTTTGACGAGTGGTAGTGTGTACAAATTAAAAAGCGGCTAAATGGGCACTCAATCGGGGGCGCGGATTAGCATTTCGCCTGACAGATACACATAGCGCGTACATACAGCGACTCTGTCTGTTCTCTGTCTCCGTCGTTTGACTCGTACGCGAGTGCAGGGCGTGAAAAAGCGGGGATTAAGCGTGTCAGACCAATCGAGAGAGAGTGTGTACTGGCTGCGCGCAGAAAAAGCGTGGCGTGCCAATCATCCGCTGATGGATGGATGGAAAGCATCCGATGTACCGGGGAGAATTTGTACATAATGAAAGATTAAGTGCTCCGTGTTAAAGACAAACTATGAGGCATCGCTCAGCAATAATTACGGCTGATTTGTCACAGTGATTTTTAAAACGTCGTTTCCCAGCGGTTTATCGCGCTTGCGTCATGCTGGCAACGCGGTCGTTCCAGAAAAAAGATTTCACAAATTCTCCAGACGAGCGAAAGAGTTGCGAATTCACTATTTATTATTCGGCCATAATTTTTTTACTGGCTGCAATCACGTGTTTTTAAAATTAGCAGAAATTTTCACGGTGCATAAATAAATAAAAGCAATCGGCGCCGGTTGACTTTTTCGTTTTTTCGAATCACAAAAATAATTGTTAATATAAACATAGCAACGAAACTATCAACGCCCAAAAAAGTTTTAAGATACCAATTTTTGCGCACACTGTAAGCATTACATTAAGCGTTAGTAACACTTTTTAAGGAAACTGCAGAAACCTTTGCACTGCGTAAATGAAAAATTTGGTTTTTAAAAAGCTATTAAATATCTTATTATAACAATCGTTCTAATTTGTTAAATTTTTCGGACCAGTATTTCAGAATTGAGAACGTTTTCAAAGTGTCTCACTGCAATTCAGTCGAGCCATTACCGCAGAAAAGCGCGCCGGAATAGTTTGCTTTCGAAATAGCTTTGTTATTGTTGGACGACGTCTTTTAGCCAAAGAAAATATTTCGCTGCCGCAATTGAAAAGCTGGGTGCACATATAAGAGCACCCTTGTATGCCGTGACAAGAAAAGCCATCTTTACTCTGTATATATTCGCGTCTGGCTCTCATTGAAGCGTGCCTAAACCAACGCTACTGCCGCTGACTTCCGTACCCAAAGTGAAAATGAAGTGCACCCCTAACTATTCACACAGCGCTTCCAGTGCAAATGTTGACTTTTGCCTTTCGTGGCTTTAACTCTTGCAGCGCAAGATAAAAGCCGGGCTTTTGTACAGTACGTTGCTGTTCCTTTTTAAAGACGCCATAAAGTTACTGCAGTCGTTTCTAAAAGAAGAGCACTTTAAAGCCAGGGCGCCCCGGTTTTGATAATTAAGCAGTCAGGACAATTAATTCTGCAGCCGCGGTTAAATCGATTGTGATTGGGCGCGGGTAATCTGATCCCGAAGAATAACACTGCAGTGTGTGTATTCTGAGAAATGGGAACAGCGTCAAATCGGAGACAGTGTGGGTACTGTGCTGGGCGGCGCGGACGTTCCCAGGCTATGGTGGTATGTGAGAGAGGCAGGGAACCGATCAAGAATAACACTGGCTGAAATGCCGGTATGTGGTTTGTCCCCGTTGAAACGGTTGATTGGTGCCGACGCGGTACGTATTTCGGAAGCCGATGAATTTGGATAACGTTTCAGCTCAACCGGCATGATATGGTTTCGCAATAATTTGCCGATTAACTGGTAACTGATTTTCAAATTATTGGCCAACAATATGCATGAAAAATTATTGCAGGGAGAAGTCTCGGCGAAACGATTAAATAGCACTCGTACGCATAGTACAAAATTCGTGTACATACACCCGTACACAGTACGAATTCGGGTACACAATTCGTACCAAAAACTATCACTTAACTCTTAACAACGTTCCTTCTTTGTTTTATGACATTCTGTAGCCAGCTGACATTTCGCCTTATGATTCTGTTCAACATGATGGGTTGTAATTTGTATATGCAGTACATTGGTTAAAAAACCGTTTGTGCGCGCAGCATCCGGTTCGGGAGTTATGGGTTATAAGGAAGATCCAAAAAGTTTTAGCGCATTAAGTTGTATCGGAAGTATCTTTATGGACAGATTTTGTAAGTAAACGCACATGCATGAGGATTGTTTTTAGACCGAATCACGGTGCCATGGCATTTTTTATCACTCTTACAATGTGAATTTTTTATTGTAACAAAATGGTGTATAAGCCTAAGAATATATTCAGTTCAAAACCTCTTATTCGATCTACATACTAACAGGTATTTATTTATGAGGAGAATTTAGAGAAGATTGGTCCATAATCAGACTTTTGGTACATTTGAATGCATTTAAACTTTTGGAATACAAAATTAATATGACTCCATTCTGCATAACTACATAATATAATAAGTAACTTACAGCCATATCCCCGAACCGGATGTTGCGCGCACAAACAGTTTTCAAACCAATGTATGTATAAAAGTCATCTGGCTACAGAATTCTAAATGTCATAAAACGAAGCAAAAAAAGTGTCTGGGATTTAATATCGGAAGGTGAAATTTTCGCGCATTTACACGAATTCAGTAAGTACGAGTATCAAAACGTTGTTCCATATATTATTGCGTGTGGGAAAATTGCCGGCTGTGAAATTTTTGGCAGTGGTTCTGTTGGAGATTAAGTACCGGACTTTATTTTAACTTCAAATATCCTCAACGGACTGCTTTTTCTCAGCGTGTACTTTACTATAACTTGTTTTTTTACACTACTGTGTAAACTAAACTAATATTCAATATTTTTTAATCAATAATAGCGTCATAATTCAATCATAAACAATTCCAACAGCTTCCGAACAACAGAAAAACTAAAATTAAATCCTTTTTTACTGTTCCACTAAAGCAACCGCCATAAAACCGATAAAGTACTTGGCACATAGCCACAAGAAATCAAAATAATTCGGCATCACATCCTCCACCATCACCACATCTCCGCTGCGCGCTCTACTTAAACGTGCTCGGCTCGTCGCCGGACTGACTAATCGCCGCGCGTAGTTCTTCGGGGCGGAAGACGCCCTTCTCGGTGATGATGCCGCCGGTGATGAGGGCGGCCGGGGTGACGTCGAAGGCCGGGTTCCAGCAGGTGACGCCGGCCGGGCTGATGGGCTGGCCGCGGATACTGGTGATCTCCGCGGCGTCCCGCTCTTCTATGACGATCTCCCGTCCCGAGGGGATGGTCAGGTCGCAGGTGGTGATGGGGGCGGCGATGTAGAAGGGCAGGCGGTGGTGGGCCGCCAGCACCGCTAACATGTACGTACCTGTGAAACATGCCAATAAGAAACGAAAAACAGAAGGAATAAATAAAAAATTAACTACACAGGAGCAATAAATATGGAATAATTAAATATAAAAAACCAGTAAGAAATAAATCCATAAAATTTCTAAATAAATAACAAAATTACCAACTAGCCATAAGAATAAATTGTAAAAAAATAAACAAATAAAAAGGTTATTGAGGAAAAAGTAAAATGAAGTAAGTGGTTTTATTATTTTTTTACAAACTGTCTTGATTCATCTCAGTGAATAATTAACATACAAAAATAACTACAGCAATAAAAATAACTCCATTACGAAGTATGTAGTAATTACTCGCATGAATCGATTACAGTACGTAATAACCTATGAGTTCGTTAAAATTGACCGCTGTTTTCTATTTGAAAACCATGCCAACGCGTAACTCACCAATTTTATTGGCAGTATCGCCTGCAAAAATTAAACCAAATAATAACCAACAAACTGATATTAATTCAAAGCAGAAACGGACGTGGTTGTTTACCGTTAGCAGCGACCCGGTCGGCGCCGGTGACGACGCAGTCCACCTTGCCGGTGGCCATCAGCCAGCCAGATGCTGAATCACAGATGAGGGTGCTGGGGATGCGCTCCGTCACCAACTCGTAGGCCGTCAAACGCGAACCTGCCGATGCCAGCATTTTGTTAACAAATTATCAAAGGATATAAGGATCTAAGGATATAATATATCAAAGAATATATAAGCAATATACCTATTTTCTTTTCATCATAATTCTAAAGCGCAGTCTATTAAAAATTCAATACTAGTACAATCAATATTAATTTACTACTGGTAAATTTAAAGCTTAATTTAAATTTTTCAAATTAATTTCGTATCGTTTAATTTTAAACATAAATTATTTAAATTTAAATATAAATTTACCACTATTAAATAGCTATTTAGATCTTAGAAATTTACTAAAAATTTAACTGGGCGTGCTAGACGACGGAAATATGCAGTACGAACTGGAAAAACTTTACTCAAAAATCTACATGCTACGAGTATTTCTCAAATTTGTGCGCTTTACAAATCAAAATTCTTTAAACTGCTGCACAGACATTCTGAGATCTGACGTATCACGTTATCCGGAATCGAGCAAATTTTCTGATCCACTTCACTACGAATCTCCCGTAAACATACCAGCAATTCTACCATAGCAAGCTGGAGATGTCTGGTTTCTTCTTAATCTCTCTGTATTTATCCGAATAAACTTTCCAGAAATTTCGCGCAATTAACGTACCGACTAGCGATCGCACTTACGGATGTGCTACCGTTTTTCTATCATTCGGAAGTCTTAATACCACCAAGTTAGCTTTATTTCTATTTATAATACTCCTTCGTTCATAAAAAATTTTGGATATCGAAATTTTATTAATCATGCGGATTCATGCCCAAGGAAAAAAATTTTCATTTCCGCTGCTATTCTTCACGATCAAATAAGAATGGCGTAACTGCCATTAAAACCACTTATGACTATCACTCACCTTGGCAATACGGTCGGGTTTCGTTGAAAAACACATGCTCGAGCTTGTTCATCTTCTGCAGGGACCGGACAACGCCTGCAGACACAATTTCACGGTTGGTACAAAAAATAAGAGAATCTCTGTAGTTTTTGAAAGGTATGTGACGAATACTGTTAGACTGTCAAGCCGGTGAAAACCATAATAGTTTATGACACATCATACCAGTACGATCAGCTGATCACGTTCATACAATGCAGTAAAACTGTTAAAAACGATTTGACAGTCTATGGTATCAAAATGGTTTACATGCAATATAAAAAAATATTAGAAAAATTCTACAAAAAAAGTGAAAGAAAATATAAGACAAAAATTAAAATTAAAGTAATAAAGAAAGCACTAATTTCGAGAGTAATCATGTATCTAAACAGCACATGCAAATCTGCTCTCATAATTCAGGATAATTCAGCTCAAACGGAAACAGGAAAACTACCTTTCGAATATTATATTATATTCATAAATAAATTTACAATGGAAATTTTCGATAAAATATCGTTCTAAAAAGACCAGCCTGATAGCAGCAGAATTTCTCATGAGAATTTAATCAATATAAATTTATTATGAATTAATACTAAATTACTATATAATACAGAATAATAATAACAATTAATTTAATTAACATCAATGCCAATATTTATTTAATTTAATCGATGTTAAATAATGGTTAGTTTACCCAGCGCCGTCCCGTAGCCGGCCGTGGCCAGGGAGCCGGTGTTGCAGTGCGTGAGGATATTCAGCCGCTGCTTCCCCGGACACCGGGCCAGCATATCGCGAGCGCCCCAATCGCCCATGGCCACGTTATCCGCGATATCCTTCGCCAGCATCCCTTCCATTTCCGCGATCAACCTAATTAAAATCAATCTTTAACGAATCACACAAAAACCACTGCAAAATGTAAATACGTCGAAGTAAATCTTGAATGCGAGCCAAACGTACAAAAAAAGCGTAAGAAAAACTTTTTTAAACGTAATAAAGCATTTTTAAATACTTCTATTATAATTTTAATCCCGTTTCCCGGTTTCCGTGCCACAAAAAAGCAGTAAACATACAGCTGTTTTTCTGATATTTTAATTTATTTTTATTACAGCAACACAAGTCGTTTTTCTAAATAATTTATTATCGTATAAAAACTTCATACAATTGTGTAGTAAAATTTATTAAAACATTCAAACTGGAGTTACGGCACTATACTAAAACTGCATACTAAAAATTATAAAACAGAATTACATACTCAGTCCTGATAACTATCTCTTAACTGGTGCAAAAATTAAAAACCAGAATTCAAGCTATTTTCACAAAGAAAAAATTTTCCGAAAATGACGTTCCACTTGTTGCGTACCGTTCCTTAGCTTCATGTACGCGCCGCGCCACCTCCTCTTCACCGTAATTCCGCTGCTCGTTTTCCTTGGCGAAGGCATCAAACAATCCCTGCGCCATCCCTCCCACGTGGTCGGCGGCCGTCCGCATGTTGACGGCGGTGGGCCGGGACTCCACCAGATGCTGCAGACTGCGCACCACGTGCTCCAGCAGACGGCCCATGGTGGGGAAGTCATTCCCGTCCAGCTCCACCGCCAGACTCAGACAGCCCACGATGGCGATGGCCGGGGCGCCGCGCACCTGCGATCAACATATGGCAGAGTAAAATCAGCATACAAAAACGCGCAGGAACATGTTTCGGGTCTAATCCATAATTTAGTTGGCATGTTCGACCATGTTTATGTTTCAACAAATAACAAATTCAACGTAAACTGGGCAGTCTACACGAAAACGCACTCCAACATGTCTCTAAGCGTTCTAACAGCCGTAAGAACACATATTAACATGTTTGAACATGTTACAGATCTGATACATAAGTACTGCAGTTTACACACGAGCACTCGAACAGCAAGATCTCCACGAAAACACGCTCGAACGCGTTCAAAATAATTAAACGCGAAATCAGTGGGGTACCTCGTAAGCGGTAACTGGTAAGTACTGTATCTTATGCGAAGATGTCTGCATCAGAGTAGGAAATGATCTGTACCTGCATGGAACGGATGGCCTCGAAGGCATTCTGCACCGAGCGAATAGGTAGGTACTCGGTGACAGAAGGTAGAAGCAGCTGATTGAGGATGGAGAGCTGACGCTGCGCGCCGCGGTGCATCTCCACATCCCCATCGGTTATTGCAGCAGCGGGACGCGGGGATTTGAAGGTGTAACGGATGGCTTCCAGTGTCATTTTACAGCTACGAGTATCAAATGGACAACAAGGTGGTAAAATATGGAACAGAAGCAAACGCAGCTGATCGACTGCACGAAAACATTGCAGTGGTTTTTGCCAATCATCCAGAAGGCAAGCAAAGTGAGCGATATGCTATAGCTTCTGTACCCGCCCGCGGGTGATTATCACACCTGTCACAATAGGACAAGTGCTTCTTTAGTGCCATAAAAATTCCGGTTGTTTCCGGTTTATCAAAAAGGTACTTTTATTGGGCTGCGGTACGAGTACAGTAACTTTTATTAAAATTATTTACTGATTTATATTTATTTTAAATTTTATTCATGTCAGCAGTCTTTTCGCACTTGAGCAACCGTATAAATGTCATACGTCAGCAGTAACTACGACTCGACAGTTTAAAAATGGCTGTAAATCGCTTGCAGCCGGTCACTAGCAATTGCTTATGTCTACGATATATTTATGGCATTACTGTCCTCCGCTGTATTATGTTGGTACAAGAAACAACCTCGGCAACGCCTCCGCGTTTCTTGTGGTACACGTTTGTTGTGGTATACCGCTTTATTTCATTTCGAATGATGGACTGGCGGATCGATACATAGTGCAACCCTTGGCATTTGAAACTACGGGAACTTTCGGACCGCGCACAGAGAAATTTTTTAAGGAATTGTCCAGAAAGATTTGCGAATGTAGTGGTAATCCTCGGTCGGGAGAGTTTTTGTGTCAGAGAATCAGTACTGAGATACAACGTGGAAGTGCAGTGTCTGTCCTCGGAACATTTAGTGACATGAGAGACCGCGAAGATGTTTTTTTAGCTTTTAGATTGGCTGATCGGGAATGATTTGTACCCGATGTTGTTTTTCTTGGCAGCTTTGTTGTGGTCTTGTTTATATTGTAATTTCGAATGAATATTAATTTTATTACCCGGTTTCCACAACAGATTTGAAAATTTGTATTTCCGGTGCCATTAACAAAACAATTGGGCGCTGCCAACATATAAGCAGCTAAACTGGTGCTCGAGCGGCTACGCATGCGTTAGCTGTGATGTTAATCGCAGGCCACTAGAGCCAACATTTTCAAAACTAGCCGCTGGCCTCTGACCGCCGTAGGGAACTTTAAGCAGCGCTCTGGGCGGTCGGCGGCCGTGCCGAAAATAATGTGGCTTTCTGACTGCTGCGGTTGGCACACCGCACAATCCACGTGCTTGAATGCGTACTGTCGACGCAGAGGTTGCTGTGCACGCGGGTTTTCAGGCTTTGCAGTCAGTAAAGTGAGTAAACATTTTTGGCGTTTTCGTAAAATTTTAAAGTTTCTGTAGTTTCAGCGATTTCGCTTCTGACCCTGCAGAACTTATTAATATTAAAGCAGTTTTCACTTTTGCGGTAAATTTAATAATACGGTTCGGCACCATGGGCAAAGTCGCTCTGAACTGCGGACAACTTGCAAACTTGAGCGACTTCGCTTGTTCTCCTGGCTTCTGGGCTGATGACGTTTATGCCCGTTCTCGCGTTTCCTTTCCTGATTTGTCCTCCAAAAACCCCGCTACAACCTAGGGATAGCTGAAAAGCCATAGAGGAGAAGCAGTGGCATGCAGAACGAGCCATGTCAACGGAAAGCGGAGTCGCATTCGCCACAGTAAGTCACCACAGTTCGAGTGATAGACTGCAAGTTACCGTTTGGCGTTTTGGTGTCCTCAGCTGAAGCACATGGGGTCAAAAGTCTTGCCCATAAGTTGTTTTATCATCTTTGCAGTTACTAAAGATGATTTCATTTATTTGACTTGCCACCAGTCGTTATTGTATCCTGAACTTCGCGACGTATGGCGGACAGCAGGAATGAGCGAGACCGCATTGCGCAAGGTATGTGTTAAAGGTGGTTCAGCTAAAATCCCTGTACTTGCTTGATACTGGCAAACATACTGCACAGTATTTTTTCGCAGCTCGCCGTATTTGGAATGCATGATTTTCTGTTCATTTACTTTTATCGTTAAATTCTTTTATTGTTTTTGGTGGTTCGTATTTTGGTTACTTAGTCATTTCGTTTCATATTCAATTTCTCAATGTATTAGGTTTACATAAATAAATTAATAAAAGCCGATTATATTATGAAACTTTAAATCTATGCTGACACAATTTTAACAGAGTCGGGTTTTTTCAGTGTATTTGAGCAGCTCGCGAACGGAGAGTTTTGGCTGGCCTGATGACAGCTGCCTTCAACGGCTGGAAGGATTAACACGTGAAATCCTACGCCAAGAAAGACAATATTTTAGGACAGATCTCGGGTAAAACGAAATCGTTTTTGGTAGAACTAAAGATCGACGCGTTTGATCTATTATTAATTGTGCGGTCGATGTTGTTTTTTGTTTTTCTCCAGCGATGTGATAATAGCTGTGTTTTAATTTACTGGTGTTGGCAATATTTTTCTAAGCGTTTGTTACAGCGGTGTATTTATTAACAAAACTGGTAAACTGTGACTGGATTTGCATTGACGTTCGCGTTAAACAACAGCGAAAGTATAGTTAGTTCGCACGCAGTCTTTACTGCACTAGCTCCCAACCACCACCTCAACAGCCGCTGCTTTGCACTGACCTAGCATCCGAAGAATAGTTCTATCATACCTCGCTGATATTTATGTACGGCATGCACCGGTCTTGGGCAGTACTTTCCTATGCTGTGGTTGACAAAAAAATAGTGTTCCAATTTCTGATGGGGTTCTTACGCCGGCAGAAACGCTTTGTGCGGCCTGCGCCAGCACCACGCACAGATCAAGGTAGAAAGAAACAGGTGCTGTTGAGCTAGAAATCCGATCTTAAAAACGAGGGTTTTTAAAACCGGGTTAGTACTTCTATTTCTATAGCTAGGTATATCCATATTTCGTCGAAACACAACAGCGGTATGACACATATTTAATCGTTATGAAAAAATCGTTATATAAAAATCAATTCATGGTTCTCTCAGCCTCGAAAGCATTCACTTTGGCTGTACAGATAAATTTTATTTTATCATCCTATCCGAAAGCAAACTCGAAGTTTACTTGTCTATATTGTATTATGTCAATTTAAAATCACAGTGCGATAGCAGTGGACACTATTTCTAGTTCGATGACTCAGTCACTTCACAAGTTCTTTTCAGTACGGAGAGCGGTGGTGTGTGTCCGGTCAGTAGTGGTAGCTGGATTACTTGCAGACCTAGCGGGCCCATCTACTCTAGCGAGTGACCGAGCTGCCACTGGACTGTCGTGGCAGCTCGGTCACTCGTTCGCCTACGGGCTCTGTGCACTGCCGAAAAGTACTAGTGGTAGCTCGGTCACTCGTTTATTCTGAGCGCTCTGTGTGCAGGACGGTGGTGGTAGCTTGGTCACTCGAGCTCACTGATCGCTGCAGTGTACCTTTACGAGTGCTTTTAATCGCGAACGATTTTTCCATCATTTACTGCGAGCAGTCCTTTCTGTATTTCATTCGTACGTGTCGAAGTTTTATCTGTTTTAAGCTGAGTTTCTACTCGTTTGCACCCCTCTTGCGAGAAAAAAACACCACTGCGGACTCGTAAACAGTTCTATAGTGGACTCGTAAACAGTTCTATAGTGAGTGGAAATTCGCCTTACGAAATATGAGTTTATGTACGTACATAGTTTCGGATGGACATGCACCGTACGTTCATATTCGCCCTGGACTAGTCGCGGTGATTTACAGAAAACTTGTTTCTTAATGAGAATTTTACATGAGAGTGCGATCAGGTTCACACTTTGCACTTGCTGGCGACTTTAAAAGGACTGTAATGAACGGTCAGCCGTTTGGAGGATGATTAAGATCAAAATTTGGTCATAATCATCGTCCATTTTTTATCCAGGTTAATAGTTTCTAGTTAGAACATAGTACACGTACTAAATTATTGATTTTCCGCTCTAGGCAACCACAATTCGAAAATTTTTTCAAGGTCACCTTAAGATTTATCGTTCTACCGGCACCTTTATAAAGGTGCCGGTAGAACGGTAAATCTGCCGGTAATTACCGGCATGTGTGGGAGCGGTTGGGACTTGGGAGCTGATCTTTTTTAACTCAAAATGCATGTGACACGGTTTCTAGCCGGCCGTACTGAATCGAATGGCGTTTTCATATTTTTCTATTTTCTCGAGTTTTTGACGGATCCAGAAGTTACGTGGTTGTTGTAATGTGGATCTTGTTCCTTGATATGCTGAAAAAAGTATTTGCTGTTAATTCACCTGCGTAATTGTGGTAGTCGTTCGCCCCGGGTTTAGTGCAGTTCTAACGTATACGACAATGCAAAAACATAAGAATAACTTCTCTGATACAAATGAAATACTAAGCTAGTACTTTAGACACCGTTCTATCGAGCTGCTGAATTTATTTTGATATAAACAACACAGTAAGATAAACAACATGCAAATCGTTAATGATAAAATTAAGTATAAACCATACTGCACTCATATTGAAACATTTGCGAAGACAAGTTCTTCTTCTAATTACAAATTGCTTCCTTGATTGACGTATTTCACCGAATTTGTAATTAAACAGAAAATGATAGATAGGGCCCATTGTTATCTATTTGTTTTGCTGTGCTGCCCACGAAAAACATGTCGATGACCTTGTCAGCAATCGTTCAGCTTGTACCTAAGTGTAATACGCACAATATGTTTTTCTGTCAGTCTCCTTAATGGTGATCAATGCGTGTTGCACAAAGTAATGCATGAGTATCAGTTAACAAAAATTAATATTTTCGTTCAGCTAGCTGGAAGGCAAAGTACACGCACATCAAATGCTGTATCTCCAATATGTACTTACGTTCTACGGGCATTGTGGTGCAATATGCTGCCGGTGCAGACAGAATAAAAATAATTATGGTAAAAATGAAGAAGTGACGGTTTGGTATTCATCATCGGATTTACCACGCTTACCATGAAAATTTAATTGTCCATTAATAAAAGAGTTAACATCAGCGTACGGCTACCGCCTTTGGTGTTTTGCCGGACAGGTTATGACTTATGTGACTTTTCTCACGGATGCTCATCTATCAGATTGAAATTAATCGTTATTGTGGCACATCATCAAAGATGAATGAAATCCCGGAATATAATTTTATAATTTCTGTTGGAAGATGGTAGGCCTTTATGGAGCGTCAATATGTTTTGTGGCAAAACTTCGTGATGCCTTAAATTTATGTAGGTTGAAGTATTCCAGTTAAAACCTCACCCAAATACTTCACATTTCACCCTGTTAAATTTTGGATTACGGATAACCTTTGCCAGGCTTGTACGTTGATGTCTTTGTAACTGGTGATGCACTGTAAAGCGGTCAGGCCGCTCCATGTGCAAAGTAACGTCGTGGATGCATAATCGCTAATGTTCACATAATTATAAGTACTTCTATAGATATACGCATCACAGCATAACCGTACCGTACAACGTTAAACAGTTCTTTATTTATTTCAGAAATTTGAACAGGCCCCCCGGAAAAGTAACAACATTGCATATATATAATCACGGATTAGCAAGAACCGAAAAAAAACTACCCCAATTACTGCAAGATGATGATGCTGTGGTGGTTGTTCTTCCTTTGTGTATTTCGATTTTCGGACGCAACCTATCGGTATTATAACGAACACCTCGCGTACGCTACGGTATATACTGCGTAAAAACTATCTTGATTTAAAAAAAATACTACTGTATTTATTACAAATACTAACTAGTCCAGTTGGTTAAATTTTGAAGTTGACTAGCCTTAACAAAACAACCTGCAAACATGTAGCTATGTAAAAGTACTGAAATAAGAAAGTAAAAAATTAAAAAAAAGTAAAAATTGTAGCTACCTAAAAAGTAGCTGAATGGTAAAAGCAAACGAATAACTCCAGACTGCAATAGAGAAGATTAGGCCGATGTTACTAACAGGAAGTATCGCTATTAATTTTGTAAAATACTAGAACTAATGCTTCTGCAATCACTTATTTAATGCTGAAATTATATGAATGCAAAGCAAATCACCGTTAATTTTCTTCCACGATTTAAGCAGCGCAATAATGCCTAATGGAATTTACAGGGTGATACGATCCTTTCTTTGTGGCATAACCATGGAGGTCCACGGGTGCCCCATCGAAAGTGGAATATGGAATGTCTTGACGGTAAATTAGTACCTGATGTTGTAGAAGAATACCGTATTCTATATTCAGTATGCACAGTACAAACACATACAAGTGTGCAACCGTTTTTGCTTTTTACAGGAGAGGCAATGACTGGTGTGCAGTAAGTTAAATCGCTTCTGTTTTTGTTAAATTTGGAACTAAAGAACTAATGTTTATTTCTTTGTTTTACAGGGACTTCACCGACGATTTTGAGGTTAGCCAATACATTCGTATCATCATAGCCAACTTACGATCTCTTATGTTAGTTTGCAGTCCTATTTCTGTAACGCTTTGAACGACAAAGGGGAAAGGTCATGCATCTTTCGTATTTGAAGAGACCATATAACTTACTGAGCGAATCTGATATGGAATGCGTGCGTAAATAAATTAAAAATGTGAGATTACGGCATCGCAAGCGCCCATATATTATTCGAACACTTATTAAAAACTGATCATATCCATACTCTAAATGGCCGTTGTTCTTGGTAGCGACTGACCGCAGCATGGTGCAAATTCATGTTTCCCTACAAACCACCGTCTCACGGAGTGTATCCATACTATCCCAAGTACAGTCCAAAAATGTTTATGCTTAACAGAGCCATTCAGCTGCTCATCCTATAGCTATACATGAAGATTCGCGATATATTTGTTAGTTCAAAAAAGTGAGACATGCTAGACAAAGTCTGCTAGACAGATTTTTGAATAGTATTCCAGAGATCCGCATATAAGTTTGTTTTGTAGCTGCGTTGTACGAAATTTCACCAACGAATACTTTTGCTTCCATACCAATGATGCATCGAGGTCAATCAACACATTTGTGACAGGTAGATAATCAAAATTAAGCCCATGAAGAAACCGTACTTCTTTAATGTTTTAAGTACTTTTTTTTGTTTCCAGCACTCTGGGATAATGAATTCAATTTCTATGTTCATCGTCCAGGTGGATTTGGTTTAACAACCGGGGACGATTTGCAGCCATACAAGTGCTGTAAAACTCCGAAAGGCTACTATATCGACTATTTATCGTGCCGTAAATTATTTTCTATCTACTTCACCATGGTATGTTGCGAGTAATACATATTAGTTACTTTTGCAGACTATATTGACAGCCATGATCCATACCGGGAATTCTACGATAGTCTGTCGAATTTCATCATGCTATGCCCGTAAGTGAACCCATACAATGCATTACTGTAACAGGCAATGGTCTTCACAAGTATTTCACAACATCAACTTCACCATGGTCAGTTATGCGTAGCTGCACTATAAATTATGGTACCATCTCGCTGTTACGGAATTAATCCGACCTTTTGTTTCCGACACCTCTCGATTTCTTAATAAAAATTGCAGTGAGTTCGCAACCGGTGTAAGAAAGCATACAGTAAATAAAGAAGCGTATATGTATATCTACAAAATAAATTACCTTGAAATATATGAATTACGTTTTAGAACTGGATACGTCATGACCGGAATATCGAAAAAACTAACGCCATTCGAACAAGAATATCATGTGGAATGGATACAATGTTGCCGGGTAAATCAATCGAAAATTTAAATCTACGATTAACATATATATATATATATATATATATATATATATATATATATATATATATATAAAATATATATATATATACATATATATTACAAATATAGTGAATAATAAAAAATCCGTATTTGCAATTGATTGAGAAAGGTCAAAGAATACTACATTCGCTTCGCTGCCACATCCATCGTATCGTATATGGATAATGGAAAAATGGAAACAGATTAAAACTGAACTAATGGTGGTGGTACATGTATTATTTAATAATTATAAGCTGTGTCATTTAAACAAATTTGCTGTACCTTACTTACACTGATCAACGCTTTTCTACAGGTAGGTTATGGTGCCGCAGTAGCCCTTCCGCCGCCGGTGTACTCTGTTAACGGGAAGAAGGCTTTTTACGCCAACAGCTATGCTGAAGCCCCACGGGTTCCAGAGGGCTACATATTTCAGTATAAAACGGGAAGAAGCTACACTGAATTAGAATCTATCGGCAACTATTCGACTAACCCGCGCGAGTCGGCTAAGGATAATGAGTGGCATAGCTTTCGCTATACCGATAAGCCAATTCCAAAGGATTCGTTCAATCAAAAATATGTAATGTAGATAGCAACGTTAAGGACTGCATGCGGCAACAAATGATAATTTGGGAAGTTCGTATTACTGACGTGAAATTCTTGTCTTTTTTGTTATTATTTTTGGATAACAGTGGTCTGATTTGGCACTACTGTTACTGCACAAACTTTGTTAATTTGACGGTAATCCTGCGCGTTTTTGCAGTTAAATGCTTTGTTGCACTTGAACATGAGAGAAGTGCTGTGTGACCGTGTATCTGTATGAAATAAATGCTTACGTGCGTTAGGTACAGCTGTACGCAAGTGCACATTAATTTTATTCTCTGTACATTATAATGCACATCCCATAATAACTGCTATCTTGTGAAGTACGTACTTTATATTATCATCACGGTACAGTATCTACAGTATCTGTAGTCGTTGTATTAACGATAAATTAGTACGTATTAAATTATTACAGTACGTTCGATCAGAATCGTGCCGACACGATGCCGCAAACGATCCAAATTAGTTTCAAGGCGACCCAGAAACAAAGGAAAATCTTAAATTTTACCTAAGTACATAGAAAAATTTTACATTTTACCTGTATATAAATATACTGCTTGCAAGAAATGACATTTAATTTTGTTTTTCTTATGTTCGAAACCGGGAACGGTCCAGTTTCCAATTTTCTAGGCTAAGACTTTACGGGATAATGGGATTAACTGAATATCTGACTTCTTAATGGTCATTATTTTTTTATTTTCAATTTTCATATCTTTTACGTAGGAACAGTAATTTCCTAAATATAGATGTGCTGTTCTTAAGTGTGGATGTACTTTAAATTGACATGGAAGACCCGGCTACAGGAAATGATTTGTCTGGTCGCTGTAATGCATTTCAAAAAAACTAACACTGTCTGGCCGCGTTCTAGAACATGGGCTTTCCGGCGATAGCTTTGGTTTTTGTTGATTCTGTCTGGGATACCGGCATTGGTGCATGCAATTTTTTTTTTGTTCGTGGTAATAAAGATCTAGAACTAGATACTAAAAATTTAAAAATCACGTGAAGTGCGGTAATTAAATTGGTGAAGTAATCCCACTTGTGATTTGACAGAACGAATTACCAATATCAACGTTTTGACCTAGATACAATTCGCATCCGAATCCCAATACGTGGTAAATTTGACAGTTGCTGTTATCCAACAAATACTTCTATTCGCAAACATCCATTTACTGACATTCATTATGAGGCAAAAGTACTTTGTGCAGTAGAATGACGGCTGCGTATTACGCGGCCTAACAATTTCCGGTCGGCAAAACCGTACAGCCTCCAGCGGAAAACAATTGGTTACTGTTCCAGGCACCAAGTTTATCAACAACAACAATATGCGCTGTCATGAATTCATAATAATAAGACCGACATTTCTAATTTTGTGTCTGGCAGCCTGCTGAAAACGAGCTGACTGCCAATATTGTAGCGATACGTATTCGAGATCATAGTCGATACCATTACAAGCTAATCCAGCATATCCGAACCCCCCACCATGGTGCCCTTGGAGTCTTTCTCCTTAATGGGCTTAGGCGCTTCCTGGTGCATAACCGGCGCTGCGGGAGTCGTTTTTGCGCCGGGTTTTGGTGGCGGTTGCTTCTTTCCCGGGGGCGGCGGTTTCTTGTCGGCTGGCGGAGGGGGCGGGGGATTGTCATCCCCAGGTGGCGGCGGTGCATCCCCGGCATCGTCGTCTTTTTTCGGCGGTGGGGGAGGTGGCTTATCGTCCTTTTACCGCCAGCCTTATCGTCCTTTTTGGGAGGTGGAGGTGGTTTATGTCCGGGAGGTGGTGGAGGCGGCTTCTTTCCGGGAGGGGGCGGAGGGGGTGCTTCTCCGTCTTTCGGGGGAGGTGGCGGAGGGGCGTCACCGTCTGGAGGTGGTGGTGGTGGGTGGTCATCATCTCCAGGTGGTGGTGGAGGTGGTTTATCGCCCTTCTTGGGTGGTGGCGGCGGATGCTTCTTTCCTGGAGGTGGTGGAGGCGGTTTCTTTCCGGGAGGAGGCGGAGGTGGTGCTTCTCCGTCTTTTGGGGGAGGTGGCGGAGGAGCGTCACCGTCTGGGGGTGGTGGTGGTGGGTGGTCATCATCTCCAGGTGGTGGCGGAGGTGGTTTATCTCCCTTTTTAGGAGGCGGAGGTGGTTTGTCGCCCTTTTTCGGCGGCGGCGGCGGATGTTTCCTCCCTGGAGGTGGCGGAGGCGGTGCTTCCCCATCTTTGGGCGGTGGCGGTGGAGGAGCATCGCCATCGGGGGGCGGCGGGGGAGGATGGTCGTCACCAGGAGGTGGCGGAGGTGGTTTATCTCCCTTTTTGGGTGGCGGAGGTGGCTTATCGCCTTTTTTGGGCGGCGGAGGGGGCTTGTCACCCTTCTTTGGAGGAGGAGGAGGGGGCGCGTCCGGTTCACCGTCCTTGGGAGGTGGTGGTGGTGGCACATCATCCCCAGGAGGTGGCGGGGGCGGCTTATCGTCCTTCTTTGCTCCCCCCTTTGCGTCCTTTTTCGGTGGCGGGGCCTCGCCGTCTTTCGGCGGCGGAGGGTTGGCGTCATCCCGGCCTGCAGCTTTAACGTCCTTCTTCGGCAGCGGCTTTTTGGGAGGGGGCGGTGGGGGCGGGGTATCATCGTCATTGCCGGGATCGTCCATATCCGGCGGTGGCGGTGGTGCGTTGGGGTCCATCTGGTCATCCGGGGGCGGTGGAGGTGGTTCGTCTTTCTTCGGTGGCGGTGGTTTCACACCGGCTGCCGGCTTATCCTTACCGTCATCCTTGGGGAGAGGCTTACCTTGTGTGACAGCAATAATCGCCACCGCCAAAAAACCAATTATAACAAATTTGCTGGTTGTAGACACCATGTTCGGTGTCGGCAGTAAAACGTTTTAACCGTATATCCAAGTGTATAGTAATCAAAACTCGTCGAAAAATGTTCTGAAGTTGAGAGCTTTTAAATACCAGTTCTATATGATGGAGTCGGCCAAAGAAACTAACTGCACGGTATCTGATGTTCCGCTGAAGGCGATTTAACCGGCATTAGTGCAGTGTGTTTTGCTGTGCAGTCTGTGCGTGTATTGTCGGCCTGGAGACTGAGAGAGTGACCGGGCAGTCTTTATGGGGGCTTTCCATTGTGAACGGAATCTTACACAAAACCGTAGCTCAAGGGAGCAGAAGATTCTGTAACCGGCGATACTTCCCCGAAACCTAATATACGAGTAGGTAGTTCGAAATATGTGAAATACAGAGAATAATAAAAATCCAGGCCAGTTTTCGGCCTAATTGTCTATAGACAAAAATTGCATGGGATAATACCTGTATGTATACGATTTTATCATCTTTTTTATGTAATCGTCTTTGCTGCAATAAGAGTCGGCTATTGCAGTAATTGCACTATTGCAGTAAGTCGGCTATTATGAGTATGAGAACGTGCTAATCCATTCACGTGTACCAAGAGTCTCATTATGAACCGATCACCTTCAAATTTTGCACAGACAAAAAGCACAGAGATTGTTTTGACTGGAAACCAGGTTTCCATCATGCTTTCCCAATTTTAAAATAAATTTCAACAACTGTAATATTTATTTTAAAATGGGGAAAAATGCCCGAATTCTGGTTCCGTGCCAGAACGATTCTTATGCTTATGTGCCTTTTTTGGCAAAATTTGAAAGGTCTATCGGTCCGTAATGAAACATTTGATGCACCAATTCTTGCATTTAAACTTTTCGGAATGTTATTTCAATTTTCACATATAGCTTCCCAACCGGACATTGCGCGCACAAACGGCTTTCACGTCAACGTATACAGATCATTTGGTTGCACATTGCACAATGCAATCCAACGATGCAAAAAAGCGTATGGGTGTGCGCGTAAGCGAAAGTCGTTTATGTACCCGCATTCGGCGCCATGTACCGGGTCACTTCCCTTAAACTTTGCCTAACAAAAAGGTGTGGAGATTGGAGCAGTTATAGAGTCGTTTCCCGGTAGTATATGATGATGTATATCGTTCATAGTTTGGTAGCAGTAGAGTACCTCGTTCATTTTTTTGCCAACAGGGCAGATCCTCTTCATAGCGACTGTTCTAAAACTACCCACTAGTAGCGCTATACGACACGATTTCGTGCATTGAAGTAGCCACCCATTCACCCTGCATAAGTTCGAGGTTTGCTACTTTCGGCTGCTTGCGGCCAATTATGCTACCAGACTTTCTCGCGCTTGCCCGATTTCCTGTGTAGCTGCCGGTCCAACATAACGGCTTTTCCATGGGGTTCGGAAAAGGGATCATAACAGTATCGCCTTTGGACAGACGCTAACCCAGCCTCGGTGACCCCTGTCTCCCAACCTCCTCAGCTTTCGTTGTCCAGCCAACGAAAGGTCACGGCCGTGTGCTATTGCGGCACAGAACATGGTTACCAGTTTTTGCCATTCATAGTTTTTCAGCGCACACAAACGCTGGGAGATTGTCGGTGCTCGGATGTTCTGCATTACGGGAAACATACACACCCTGATCGAGCTCAGTATAAAGTGAAGGATGCCCGGCAGGGTGGAGGCAACGACCGGGCTGGCAGTACAGAGTATGTGGATTGTTACTGTAAAGCAGCCTGCCAGTTATTGTGTAATAACCAGGCTGTGGTTCAGCAGACGGAATTATGAATGAATAGAACCGTGGGGATGTGCCGGTTTGCGATTGTGCATTGTGCAAGCCTGTCCTGAAATTTCAATCGTAAAGGTACAGCGAAATTTGTGTCGTACAGGTATTTAGTGCGAAAGCTGCACCATGAACGCTTGCCACTACACTACGTCTACCACAATGACAAATTCATCCCTCTCAAGATTTCAGGTAATTAAAAGAGGAAAAAACTAGAATGTTATATTTACATCGATAGTTTATATTTTAGATCGATGTTTGTATACATCAGCCTTGTCAGATGCATGTAGAGCGTAGCTAGTGTGGCGTGGCGCGTCCTACTCTGGAGTTCAGCGTAACGCGTGAATTTGTGTTTGTCGCTGTGTTGATGCGACAGAAATTACGGGACAAGTCTGTGCGTTCCCGCGACATGTGGGATTGGTCAGTCTCGAGTGTTATGAGTAATGCCGAGCCAACATCACGACCGTCAAGTTTGTCCTTCACCGGGTAAACTTTACAGTCCTCACACTGGCTGTGACCTTACACGGAGAATAAGTCCCGGAACATGCCAGAGGAATTCAGCTGCTGTGCTTGAAAAGAACCGCAGCATATGGAGGATACGTTTCTCGGGTGGACAGACTCAACGAATTCATCAAAGCAAAATCCCTGGCTGCCGGAGATTGCTCGGTGATGTCCAACAATGACATATGACCCAGCAGTCGCCAGCGGCCAGAGGTGTTTTCCCGCGGTTTTGCTACCAGTGATACGTCCACATAAGGCGCACAAGCGGCAAACGGTACTAGCAATTTTGTGTCTCTGCGACTTCAGTAATGCTCAGATAAGACTAACAAGCAAATACCAGATAAATGCAGGTTCATATTATAACGGGTTCTGCCGGAAATAAGTTGTAACAGGGCATCATGCAATCGGTTGCACCAAGCAACCTATCAGACAACCGCTCACTGCCAACTTACCACGGCTAGAAGCAAGGCCGCCATGGGAAAGGGGAAAAGATCGATGATTGACCTTTGGATAGTACAAGCCAGAAATACTGGTATCTGGTCACTATCTATACATATTGCGCGTTGTGCACAACAAATCAGCGTGAGTTGAAAGAAAAACACTGGCAGAATGACAGAAACATCCGCCTGCAAGTGTGCTAACCCTTGTTACTCATAATCATCAGATGCCATAGTCATCATGTATAGGACTTAAGTCACCCTACTCAAAATCTACCTTTATAATATCTAGTTTTTCCCGGTAAGGTGCAATGTCTATTGCTTCAAATGGAACCGAAGACGAAACATGCTATTACATGCTTGTACATATTTTACTATCTACCACCGATATTACGGACCATCCAGGTATACTTTCAATGTACCTACTTACGATCACTACATACTGCCAATACTACCGTATGAGTAGCGAGAAAGTAAAACAGCGATAATTCGGCATTACTGCTGTGTTTCGTGCACGGGCACAGTTTACAGCGTTAAGTATTCTAGATGCTTGACTTGTAGTACCTCGTACGTACAAATATTCTTTTTCCCGAAAGCACAGTAGCATACATATTACACAACATGTAAAGGTTTGGGCAACGTACATGTATTTTAATTTAGATACCCGAAACTGAATTTAAATGCACTGGACAGTTAATTAACAGAATTACGTTTTCCATATCACACAATTAATATTAATGTGTTTGCCATTATACGTATAAACCGAGCAGTTTTAAGCTTGCTACTCTTGTAAATTATTTGTATACATCCTCATGATTATTGTTTGCAAAGCTTGATATACTGTACATAAAAGATCTGACCTTTTATTGATCAGTTTGTTAGCAATACCGGTTTCCGGTCGAGCAGCACTTTTCCATCAACGGGAAAGGACAGAGAGCACGAGCGCATACAAAACATCGCAGACAAGAGCAGAACGGCGTTAAACACAATACTATCACCGCAATGCCGGGTGAGCATGTCAAACTTCGCATTCAACCACAGAAGAACACTGCGCCAATCTGACGCGTATTGCCACATCCCTGTCAGCTTATGCCGCAGCGGCTTTATCGTCCTTCTTCGCGCCGGCCTTCGCCTTATCATCTTTCTTCGCGGCGGCAGCCGGTTTCTTATCATCCTTCTTGGCAGCAGCGGCCGGCTTCTTCTCGTCCTTCTTCGGGGCCGCGGCAGCCGCCTTGTCGTCCTTTTTCGCGGCATCGGCACCGGCAGCGGCCGTGTCATCTCCACCGGCGGCAGCCTTGTCGCCACCCGCAGCAGCCTGGTCTCCGCCAGCCGCAGCAGCATCATCGCCACTCGCGGCGGCCGCCTTATCGTCCTTCTTATCGGCCGCAGCGGCCTTATCGTCCTTCTTGGCACCGGCCGCCTTGTCGTCCTTCTTCGCGGCGGCAGCAGGCTTCTTGTCGTCCTTCTTGGCAGCAGCGGCCGGCTTCTTGTCATCCTTCTTAGCTCCAGCCGCAGCCTTGTCATCCTTCTTCGCTCCGGCGGCCGCCTTGTCATCCTTCTTATCACCTCCAGCGGCCGCGTCACCTCCGGCGGCAGCCGCCATATCGCCACCCGCAGCCGCGGCATCGTCGCCTCCCGCGGCGGCCGCCTTGTCGTCTTTCTTATCGGCAGCGGGCTTAGCATCCTTCTTAGCATCAGCGGCTGGCTTCTTGTCGTCCTTCTTAGTAGCAGCAGCCGGCTTCTTATCGTCCTTCTTGGCAGCTGCCTTATCGTCTTTCTTCGCACCCGCCTTATCGTCCTTCTTGTCTGCCTTGTCGTCCTTCTTATCCGCTCCACCGGCCGCCGCATCATCACCTCCCGCGGCAGCCGCATTGCCTCCTGCCGCAGCCGCATCGTCGCCTCCCGCGGCGGCCGCCTTATCGTCCTTCTTATCGGCGGCCTTATCGTCCTTCTTTGCCGCAGCAGCGGCCGGCTTCTTGTCGTCCTTCTTGGCGGCCGCTCCCTTATCGTCCTTCTTCGCTCCCGCCGCGGCGGTGTCGTTCTTGGCGGCTGCCGCACCGGCTTTCGAGGGCGCCGGTTTGGCCTGGGCGCAGTACACCGCCACGGCCAACAACAGGCCCATCAGAATCAGACAGTTGCGTGACATCTTAACTCGGCGATATATAAAAACTTTTTATTGAAAATATTTTATGAGAGAGCGAGAGAACGGTGCAGAGTTCAAGTGAGAATGCGGTCTGCCGCGGTCGCTCTGCTTTATAAACGGCTGAACTCGTTTGCGGCCCCGGGTCAAGTTGGTGCCGATTGGATGGACGCTGCGGTGTTTTTCTGGTAAAGTTTTTCTGTTAGGAAAGCATTTACGTGGCACAGTGATGTTTGGCAGTCTGTTTGTTATGTATCCAGTCATCGTTTTAAGCGGATTATTTTCCATGATTAATTACAAACATTGTAAAAAATACTGACAATTAAGCGTAAGGAATCGGTAAGCGGACAGCCAGCCGGCAAATAATTCGCCGAAGATGGTTATGTAATGTGTAAGCGAGACGCCGGTAAGGAAGTACTGGTTTGTTATTCATAATGGCCATTTGCCGGAAACGTGTTCATTGAGAAAATCCAATCACATCAACACGAAAGCAAAACACTATCCACAACATCGGTACTCTACTGCTCCATTACGCGACATTGGTGCAATCAAGATTAGTACTTTATTTCATTATTAAATAAATGTTTTTAACTACGTAATTATTCAAAGCACTGATATTTTCAAAGATTAGTTCTTTATTACATTGGTAAATATTTTTTTTTTAATTACATAATTATTCTCAGCACTGATATTTTTAATTTCTCAATCCGTAGTTTTATAACAGGCATCGAACGCGGGGATCAGGTAATAATATTGCGTTGACAGTGCTCACACAGGAAGATTAATTGCTTTAAAATTTTAAGGAGCGTCCCAAATGCACGCGACAACGAACATGCGCGGATTGGTGACCACAGTTATCCGGTATTAATGAAGGAAGCATTGGTACTAATGGGCCGCAGTGGCAGCTGCTCCCATATTTTGCGGATCAACAGACACACGCTGCAGTTTGTATTACTCGTATAATAAAACTCCGAGCAACATAAAGCGCTATTATCGCTTTAAGCCGGCTGCTTATTCGAGCATTCTCTTATAATAACTTTTGATCAATTATGGACACTATGGTCCATTATTAAATAATCAACAAATATTATAGAGAGTAAGTACACTTAACCAGCAGGTTAAAACGTTAGCAGAGATAGCAAATAATGTAGAAGTATAAAAAACTGCAAAATGGTTTTATGCAATAAATTAAAGAAACAGTTGCTTAATTAAGGAAACACACGAAACGTAGGTGAGTTTTTGCTTATTTTAACCTACTGCAAGGAATTTCAGAAAATGTTCGCGTGCTGTCAGGGGAACATCATTTTGTGGAAACTACGCAGCTGGCGGACTTTTGATAACGTTCGCAGTATTCGCATATAATTATCACGATTTAATAGATATCGCTTGCAATTGCTCTATTCAACGTTGTATTTGACCGGTATTAATTCGAAGGCATTATCCGATACTGTGCTCTGGCCATGTTGAATTGCTCACTGGTCAGCGGACGCCAGCTGCTTTTCAGCAGTTACCAATTTACCGGTATCGGCTTATGGCATTAGACGGTGCCAATGTCCGAGGTGTTTTTGTATTTTTACTGCGCATAATAACGCGCAGTAAATTTTGTCCGGTCTGACAGCTGTACTGATCAAAGCGGCATTGCGGCAGACCGAGGAATTAACCGCACACGATCGCATCGTGATAGATGTGTGTATGTATCAGTGTTGTAGCCATAATGGCATTGTATCTGGCAGAATTGGCAACACCATTTTCAACTGGCTATGAATTACGTTTGGCCATGTAAGCGGCCTAGGCCACGTATGGCCGGCAGGTAGCACGCTACCGCCATTCACGAGCCACTTCCGTCCCATAATCGGCGCAAGTGTCCACAGGCTGTGTTTGCCGGCTGTATCGATAATGGCGGTGCATGGCGTAATACTTTACGGAATATGACATGAAGCTGCCAATCCACAGAATTATGCCCGGAGTGGATTTGCGTGGAACGGGACTACTTCGACGTTTATGACATTCCGGACACTTTCCCAGTGTGGATGGGCGTACCGGACGCCAGCGAGACACGATATTCTCCGCGTTGTTCCGCACTCGAAAACTTAATATTTTTTTATTTATTCTTGTATACAAGCTCGTACAGAATATACAAACAATAATTATCACCCAACAGACAGCAAGCGCCCGGACGGCGTTACCTTGACACCATGGGAGAGAGGACGGATGCTGGCTTGGGACGCTACATGCGTCAACACAATGGCCATATCACACATCATAGCGACATCCGCAAGAGTGGGAGCAGCAGCAGCACAGACCGAGCAGAACAAAGAACAAGGTCGAGAAATATCATGATATCGGCCAGGACTACGTAATTCGTCCTCTTGGCTTTGAGACGCTCAAACCGCCCGGACCGGATGCTGCCCGCACGATAACGGAATTTGGACAGATGATACGACAGGAAACCGGCGAAAAACGAGCCACGGAATTTCTTCGCCAGCGGATTAGCATCGAAATCCAACGAGGAAATGCAGCATCGATTTTGGGGACATCACCGATAGGGGCAAATTTAGATCAGATTTTCTTCGGGATTAGGCCGCCTCTGTCGATTGATGCTTAATGTGATCGCTTCCGAAGTTATTGTGACAGTAATATTACTGACATGTGAATTAATAAAATATTATCTCCTAATCAGTTAAACAAACAATAATACAAACAAAATTATCACCAATTAATTCTCAAAAAGTTTTTGTCATGGAGAACAACGCGGAGAATACCATATTAATTTGTGGTGTCCGGGAGGGGAATGCATAATTTGTGAAAATGTTTGGATAGCGAAAAACATCGAAATACTCGCTAATACACAAGAAAACTCTAAAAAATTAAGAAAATAGAAAAAGGACCGGTTGGTTTACAAAAGCTGGACAGTTTTGGTATTAGCGGTTTCTGTATAGCACTTCGATGCACTACACGGTGTTGGCCAAAGGTTTTGGTGGTCGTCTGTGACTTTTGGCAACGGTCAATCTGGAGTTGACGCAATCCCGAACTTTATTGTGATGTATGCATGTATGTAAAGAAGTACGTAAATAAGTATGACTTTAATAATACAGGTTGACAGCAACGAGCTCGCACGATAACTAAATATGAAGTACGACAAGTGACAAACACGCAGTAACGGAGTTGCTAAGTACAACAGGAATAATACGTAAACGTAGATTCACGAGAACACCACATTTATGCAGGTCGGTATCGGCTGTGGGTGTTAACCTTGAACTGACGTCCACTGTAACACCACGAATTTTTTCGTGTAGTCGCACCGGAAGCCGAATTCGGCCACATAGTGCTTCCTTCACCGGCGCAGTCCGCATTGGCAAACGTTGGTAGTTGGTACCATAGTACGCCTTAGTTTTAATTTTCATTTAACTACTTAATTACAGACACTACCTAATTTAACTACTTAATTACTTAATTACCTACATTCAACTCATACATTCGACAAAATTAGGTCCAGTATATCTTGCTCAATTGGCCAACTTTTTTATCAAACAGTATGCTCACTCGGCATGCATTTTGTAGCAATAAACGTTTTTGTATGAAAATGGAAAAGGTCAGCGGGCAGTATGACGCATTGTTTGTATGATGGCAAGACTAAGTAAGGACAAAGGTCAACCACTGATTGCCGTTGGTTCTCAGTGCGCAAGTTGCACAGTGAATTGCTAAAAAATCTGTTAATTAAAGTCCTGTACATAGGTGTGTGACTCCTTAGGTTACCCGTTACGGACCGAACCGGTATGTACAGTTCTGCAGAAACCTATAAGGACATATGTTTTACCAGAAATGCAACTAGTGTTATCCGGGAGCTGCTGTAAAATGAGCAATAACAGAGCACATTGAAGTTTTGAACCGAGCACAGCTTTTCCGGTACCGAATGTACAGTAGGGCACAATTGTGCCGCCAGTAACTGAATCTCGCACTTAGATTAGCTAAAGCTCCTGCGATTCCGCGTCCCTAACAGCTTCTTTAAATGTACAATGTGGGACCATAGAAAGGTGACGCCGCGATAACGCAAAGTACGCAAACTAGCACTTCTCTGTGTGCGAGGGTGTGATTCACACGCTGTTTGCTGATTTGATTACCAACCTTCTGGCAGCGAACCAACTGACCGAATTCCTTATTTTTGGTTCTACGAGTATATTTATAAACGCACCACTTGATTTGGGAGATTATTGGTTGAAATAAAGTCGTTTACACTATACGGTTCGGAGTTCTCCCGGCACCGATGGTTGCTAAATTCGTACACTGTCACGAATTTATCAAGTAACACCACCGCGGCCGGGACCGACTCAGACCGGCTGGTTCTCGCTAACACTATCACAACAATACATACTGGCCTTTTTCCTAAACCTTGGCGTTTTAATGTTGTACGTTAAACGCATGCGGAACAACACACCATTTTCTCACTACGCGGCGGATTCTTTCTATGCAACGTAATATCCAGGTTGTTGACCGTGTTTCGTATGTACCGGCGCTGCTGGTTATCGGCGCGTTTCCGGTGTTGTATTGGGCATAGAGGAATTAAGCGCACCATCGTCACGGTCAACGCTATATATAAGCAGCCGAAGCAATTACGATTGCGGCAAAACACAGCACGCTGATTAATGAATTTCACCTACACGACGGTAGTGACTCGGCTCCCAGAATGCTTCCGGTGGCCGGTTGGCAGATTTTACGGTACGCCGTTAAATGACGTACCGTAAAATTTTTTAAATTTATTTAATCGCTTCCGATTCAAATCAAAAACCCGCCCTTTGCGAAATGTGTCCCGTTCCTTAATCATTCTGAACTATTGCTGATGTCTGCGGCTTCATCTTTGCGTTCGGCTTTCGCTACTTCGAATGCCTTTTCTGTTGCAAGTAGCCTTCGATCTTGTTCAGATTACACTCGATCGTCGCACACATTAAGCACATTCAACAAATAAACGCTGCTAGAAAATGATCTGCTTATAGTTAGATAGAAAAGTGGTACAGAGAAATTGCTTGGCGCACTCTGTCATAAATAACGACGTTACGCCGGACCTGTACAACGAACACATGAGTTTTTTTCCTGTGTCAACTTGTCAACGCCTTGTCACATTTGACAGGTTTGGTTTTCACAGTTCCACGTATTGGTTGTTGCCATTCCTAACGTGTTGAAAGCATGAGTCTCTCTAAAAAGAATTCGCTAAACTATAAAATTGTTACACAGTGGCAACTTATAACTACACACTGGCAGATTATTACACACTGTGGTAGCATGCATGATGCTAACGCTTGTCAAGCAATAATAAAGGCGACCTTCGGCATCATTAGTCATGGCGGAAGGTGAAGCTCCTTTGGACAATTGGCAGATAACGCGATTATGTCAGAATAAAAATAACGACATCCTGCTAAAGAAAAATATTACCACGATATCCTGATAATAACGTGCATCTTACCGTCTAAACCTATGTATAAACTGCAGCAGTTATCGCATGATCAGTTAACACTGCCGACAATTTCTCCCACCTGAACGTCAAATGACGTCAATTACTCCTACACGCCACGCGACAACGACGATAGTGGGCTCGGAATTTTACTTCCTTTGGGCAAATATGCCGAACATGGCCGGAAACGGCCCCAAGCCCAAACCCAAGACAAAACACAAAAAGAAGGACGTGATGAACCAGTGCAGCGTGGTGGAGGGCCATCGTTAATGCTGCGTTTGACGTAATGTGCGGGAGGATAAATTCTTTGAAAATTTGGTAAACTAGTTAAACACGACAATGGAAACTGTTTCGGCGGAATTCACGCCGAACAGTACGGCAAAGGGAGGCGTATACGACGCAGTCGTATAGGTGAAGCGGGCTGCCAGAAAATCCTGACCCATCCCGCGGGACAATGCAAGGCAACTAATGGCAAGGAACTTTTGTGGACAATCTGGGAATTCCGCAGATTGGCCAAATCAACGCAACTCAAATTCCGTACCATGTACGGAAGGCTAAAGGCACATAAGCGGATACACAAGACGGTAACGGCAGTCGGCAATGGAGTATACACGATGCATGTAGAAGACGTGCACAATAAGGAAAGGAGACACACTCAGGCAGCAGATCCGGGAAAAAGTAATGCATGCAAGTCGGTCATGATGGTGTGCGCGTTGACGGACAAATGATGAACCTTTGCCTAAAACAATTGAACGGACGCGATGAATCCGGGTCAAAGGAAAACTCAAAGGCAGTATGCGGCAAAAAGTAGACAGAATAACCCATCCAGGAACTACGTAGAATACAGAGGTCATACGGAATCGAGCTCACTTTGCGCTGGAAGCCGGTTGTTCGGTGCAGGCGGTGGCGCGATGGTCTTTCCGGCAGAACGCAGATGTGTGGATACCGACAAGGGACGTCCCGGCAAGGTCTGTGTTCGTTGAAATTAAAGCAGCAGTAGTTCGGAAAGGGAGGTTCCCGGGTGCTTAAATGCTTGGCCCGAACCAAATTTACCTTAGGCTGCAAAACTTGAGAACCCGAGGTACGGCGGGAATCCGCCGAAAAATACCCATCAGCCGTGCAGTCGCGACGCGAGGTGTCAGAAAGGTCAAACTTCTCAATCTCGGCTTCTTCACGGAATTCACAATCAAACGCAACAACAGCTTCGTCGTCATACATATAGCGTTTGCGAGACAAGTAAACCTGGTATTCCAGGAACTCGATGAGTACTGGTAAGGCGTTGGTCTTCCGTGCGAGGTCTAAGGCGGCCATAATGTTGCCGGCAAATAGTTCATCGCACGAAATTTCATGCGGCTTAACGTCTTTAGCAGCCTTGTGAGCTGCCTTCACGAAAGGCAGCGTATGCGGTCGGGGAAGGTTACGGGCTAAAAGGGACGTGCGGGTGCCGTTGGTGGAACTGCGGTGCGTGCTCGACGGGCTGCCTGAACTTTCGTCATCCGAGGCTGACTGGCGGGCTTTGTCGGTGCGCGTTGGTAAACGGCTCCGACGGAGAGGACCATTAACAGTGGAGGCGGTAACAGGAGAAGAGTTGACCACGTGCTCCAGTACAAAGATCTCGAGCTGGTTGCGGTCGCGGATGCTGGTGATAAAGGTCAGGTTCTCGGGGAATTTCTTGACTTTCCCCAGCAAAATAACATCGTCGGTGGAGTTGTATCCGTTGTCGAAAAGCTGTGAAACCGACGCCGCGGAAATTCCGATAGCTGTAGCCAGGTCTGAGGGTGAGTCACCTTTACCTGCTGCAGCTTCGGTTTCCGATTCCAAAGGTTCATCTGGGTGGAGTAAATCATAAAGCCGCTGAACAAGAGCTGGTTTCAGCTCGTCAAAAACTTGCTCGCCTTCAACTTCGACAATGAGCTGCTTGATCTCTGGAAGGTTCAAGCGGCCCAGTTGCTTCAGACTGAACGTGCGAGCTTGTTCGAGAGTCACAGACATGACAGATAATTTAACGTAAAAGGAACGAAAAATGTTTAACGATCAGTAATATGGACGGAAATTTTTTACTGCGACAAGTGACACGAGTTAGCGTTGTAACATTCTCTAATTTATACCCTTCACATGAAGATCTAACCAAGACAGACCGAACACAACCAAACACAGCTGGAGACAGAACACAACCAAAAGGGGCGTATCGTGTGTCGTAATACCCGGATTCCTTGGTCCCGCTGAATCCGTCCCATTTCCACTAACTGATAAGATAGAAGCAGTTGATATGAGTGCCTAATGTTAGTCCGATATTCACTTGTATGCTGTACCAGATCAGTATGCACACTGCCAAATCAAATTGCAGGTTTGGTTGTGATAACATTAAAGATCTATCATATACGGTTGTAATACGGTTTAAGGACGCTACAAATCATGGGAGGGAACGCAAGCCGTAAGTGGATATTCCCCTAGAAATAAAATCCTGTTGTATGTCACTAACTGGAAGAATTTACAGGAGCTTTACATGTGGCAGTCACCGAAGGTAAACTCGACGATGTCAAGCGCTTATGTCGGGACACCAGTACGGACGTCAATCGCGAATCGGCGACCTTCGATGGTCGCACCCCCTTGATGCTGGCACTGGATGGGCAGGTCGATCTGGCCATCTTCGGCGAACTGCTCCAGTGCCCGCGACTGGATATCAACAAAGCCAATGGGTCGAAGAATACGCCCCTAATGCTGGCCGTACGTATCGCCGAGCTGCCCACCGCCAAAACCGTCGTTCTGCGAAAAATCGAGATGCTGGCGTCGGACTCGCGGTGTCAGTTGGGTTTGGAAAATAATAAAAAACTGACGGCCCTGGAGATCGCGGTTAAACAGGAGACCACGTCCGTCATTGGATACTTGCTGCGCGGCGGACGGATTAAGCAGTATCAACCGGCCGATCTGGTTCATGCGTTGGTCACCGCGTACAACAGTGGGAATGACGAGCTGGTTGCCGCGCTGACGGATAATATCCCGCGGGAATTACAGTTGCTGGCTAGAGCTTTGGCTGAGGGGGCGGAAACTGGGCGCCGTCCAAGCAGGAACAGCGAACCGGCTAGCGGATTCGCGAGGAACATCCAAAATTTGATTAAACTTTTAGCAGGTCAGTTGCGTACGAGTATTGCTCCATGCTTGCATGCTGCAAACGCAGTTTATCACGCTATGTTATGACATCATTCCGATGATGTCAGATGCTTATATAACTTAGTTTGGATGATTGCATAATTGTGTTTTGATTGCTTAAGTGTTTTATGCTTTCGCTTTTTAAGGTCTTAAAGGTATTTACTTGAAAGCTTGAAACTGCTTAGATGACGGTGATGACGATGCTGAAAAGGAGGACGACGATGACAGCAGACTGGGAGAAATCCGAAAGGAGTTAACGCCGCTGCACCGCGCCATTTTAATGGAGGACGCCGCAGAAGTGCAGCAGCTTCTCCAGCAGGAACCTTCGTCAGCTAACGAAAAAGTTGCTGGTTTAACGCCGATGATGTTGGCCGTGCACGGACGCCACCTTGAAATTGTCCAGCTGCTGGTCAACGTCCCAGACATCGACATCAACATGTCCGCAACGGGATTCAAAAGCACCACCGCCTTGATGCTGGCGGCGTATAATAACGGATGCGGCGATGAAGCACAGCGCGTCGCCATGATAAGCTCTATACTGGCGCATCCGCAGTGTGATTTCACCGTCAAGAACGAGGACGGCGTCACCGCGCTGGGGATGGCGGCGAAGTTTGGACGCGAAGCGGCGGTGAAGTGTCTGCTGACGGATGGGCGGAGCGATCGTTACCCGCTGGACGATATTTGGCGTAGTATGCAACTGGCATTGGCTACCGAGCACAAAGAAGTGGCTACTGCCATTGCGGGAGAACTGCATGGGATTCGCTTGAAGGAAATTCACACCCGATTGGAGCATCGTCAAACGGGAGAAGGTACTGAAATTTTTTAATTAGGATTTCTTGGAGAGTTAATAATATGGTATAGTGCAATCTGTGGAAAAATGTTTTCGTTGGTCAGTGTGAGCTTTTGCTGTTCAGTGCTTTTTCTCTTGGCAGGATCGGATAGCGAAAAAGTGACCATGATACTAAAGGGTTACGTCGAGACCGCCAAAACCCTGGACCACACTATCAAGCATCTACGTCTGGGAAAACCAGCGGTGGGCAGCACGGTTATGGTCCTCAAGAACCAAGCGCTCGTTAAAGCAAAGCAGACTGAACGCCACCTAAACTTCGTCCCGGAAATCTGTGGTTGCTTCGGAATTATCGAGCTAATGACATCCACTGGTGAAGCCGAGGTCGTCATGTTAAACTCCCCCAGCACCGCGTCCAAGATCGTCCTGTGCCATCCTGACATCCTGAAAGTTGTTTCGCGAGGTAGCTAGTCTTACGAACTGCGGTCACTGGTCGGTAACGTGTTGGGCGTAGAAAAGAGAATCTGGCAGAGAAGAATTTCTTTTGTGAAGTTGTACGAAATTGTAGATGGATACAAAGGTCTGGATGCTGAGGGAGAACTGCTGACACCAAAAGACGTAGTCAAGGTACTTAGCGATGCCGATACCGTCAGTAAGCTGCAACAGCGTCATGGTGGTATGACTGACGATCATCGCGCTGTGCTGGGGAAATACGGCGATGTGCTGTTCTTTGATGTGGATGGAGATGTGCAAGTCAGCGTTGGCAAAAAGGTCAAATGTTTCAATCCAAAAGCCCTGAAGAAGGTGTCTGCAGGTATGTAGCAAACGCTGGACAGTTTGTGCGAATATCGCCCGTTTATCTGTGAGGCACACGCTGTACAGGTGCCAAAAAATGGTGTCAACGAGTGTCATTTCATGACACTCGTCAGTCGTAGAAATCAGGTTTTAGCCTCTACCAAAGTTGCACGCTTTTTTTTCTACGTTTCGGTATACTTTATCGCGTCAGTCTCCCACGTATTCTTTTTAGTTGCCTGCGGTGATAATTCAGCTGTAAAGGTCGGAGATCAGGTCTGGATAGTTGGCTCGAAATCCGACTTCAAAGAGCTGCAGACCGAAGAATTCGGCGACTGGTCCGACGAGATGATCAACCTAATGGGAACGCCTTTGACGGTTTTCAAAATTCATACCTCCACCAGCAACGACCCGAAATGTATTCTCGAAGTGAAAACTAGCGGCGCTAAACGGGTGTTCTTGAATCCGAAAGCGGTCAGTGTGCAAGCTAGTCACGCTGCGGAATTGCCCGTGATATAAGATAGCGGTACTACAGCAAACTAATAGACGTTTAGTGGCTACCCGACTAGCCACCTTGACGCATTGGCAACTGCCAGCGTATCTTTCGTTCTGTACTTCGCTTTTATTAATTTTTGGTTATGTGATTTTTTTTAATTCTTGGTGTACACGCACGCCATACAGCTTTTGTAAGCAGCGCGCTCCATAAATAAAAGAAATGCAGCAAACCTTTGGCAACGGCAGGTACCTATTTGTAATACCGCTACAGATAATTAAAGGTACCAGCTTAAGCTTGGAAAGGCTCCTTCTGTTTTGAGATCGGTTGGGTGTTCTATAGAGCTAGAAGAATTATTCTACTTTTTCTGAATAATATGGGTTATGGGTTACTTCACAACTTACTTGTACAAGCTAAAGCCATTTGCACTTGAGCTTATTGTTAGCACCAGACTACCAGTAAATAAAAATTTAAAGCAATCAATCTTTTGATGCTTCTAATCTAATCCGTAAGGGACATTTTACTTTTGCATAGGTTATTTTATCGCGCCTTGTTTTCACATGATGGCTGCCTGCGCTAATATCGAATAAATTAAAGTTTCCGTTGGAAGCGCGTATCGTTCACCAAAGGAAAAGGTCACATATCGGTAGCACCACACAGTACACCCTTAAGTATGCGATACGTACGACACGGTGGATCGTAAAATCATCGGTTCACGTACTGTCTCAGATAATACGTGGATACTGTTATTTTACGATGCTTCGTTTTCATTCGGTTTAACGATCGAAGCATATAATACGTCAAAGCTCAGGTTGCCTGCTGGCTGTAATTCGTTTCTCGCATATATTAACTTTACTATATATATTAACTTTACTTTACTATATATCGGCAGTTTTTTTGTAATCGATAGTGCAGCAGGCAGCTGGTGCAGTCCACCGTAATAAAGTTCCCGGAAAATCTTTCGATGGCTTAATGTGATAAGCATTCTTCCTTCCCAGGCTTTCGTATCACAGTGACAATCTGCCGTCCGCATTTTTGCAACAGCAATCGGCCACCTTGATCTCCCAGCACGATTAAGCTTCACATACATACTGAAATCTGCTACAACTCCTGCTTGGCATTTGTGATTAACTTTACCTGGACACAACCGGTTGATAGCTATTAAGTCAGCCGTAAAGATGATAATTACATTTTCGACACTTTTCGGTTTGACTTGCCTTGTTGCCCATTTCCCGCAAGGTGAGAATTACAAATTACACGGTAACGAAAATAACCGCACAACTTACTGCTGTACATATACTTAGGGTGGGTCTCACATTCAAAGCGAATCTCGTTCTGGTACGGTTGCTCAACCGCACGAGGTGGTTGTTTGCAGTGGCCACGCCTACAGATACGGTACGCGAAGCCACCTCGCGAGGTGGAGTTGCTGTATCGCAACTAGATTCGCTTTGAATGTGAGACCCACCCTTACTGTCGTAAATACACGAATCTCATACTAAATATTAGCAGCTGGAATCAGACGTGCAGAAACGGTTTAAAAATAAACAAGTGTTGATTATTCCTGTTCTTACCCTGAATTTTGCTGTTGATCGTTAGCTTGTTACTTGGTTCCTGAAAACGTAGCGTAGCTAAGATTTCGATTATGCTAATAAAAAGTAACGTACTTGAAATGATCGATCAGCCGACTCGCGCTTCCAGATTAGGAAATGGAATCAGCAAAGAGTACGCATGAACTGGATCACATGATGCACACAGCACACTCACATAATTCTCTGTTCTTTCCGTAGCACTGGGCGCGACAGTTTCTTGCTACCATTGCGACAGTCACGCCGGCATGGCGTGCGGACTAACAGCCGGCTGGAGGGTGTCTGATCTGGAGAAGCATGTTAAGCCGTGTCCGGAGGGTTTCTGTTACACATACGAAAGTGTAAGATTGGCATCCTTACTGCCACACGTCCCGAACGGATGGTAACTAATATGCATTGCTTTTATTCTGCAGAGCGAAGTGTTTGCGGGAAAACGTGGGTATCGCACTATCATGTGATACGCCGGTGTGTTTAAATGTTAGGAAACGTTTGCGTCTTCTTGTAGAGTTTGACATTAAGCGCGGCTGCGGTCGGCTGCCGTGTACCGCACTTCCCTACAAAGGCAATATTTCGGCACTGTGCGACGAAGACAGCGAGGGCAATCGGAAAGACAAGAACCTTCCCTCTGGTCCGCCGTTTAATCAGCTGTACACCTTCACCGCCGAGGTGCTGACGCAGACCGGCCGACTGCAGTACTGCGATACCGATCGGTGTAACAAAGAACCAACCCACTTTGCGCTGGAAACGGAATGTACGTTGCAAAATAACTGTTTTAAACAGGGACCGTATTGACTGTTCAATAAACATTTTAATCGAATATACAGTACTGCAAAGATCAGCACGATAAGTCTTACTCATTGCTGTGTGTCAATACTATCGTGTATCGATACAGAGAGCTCGTCATGTCATGCAAGCGATTTGTGTTCCCGAATGGTCATGTTATGGGTATCTTCACAAAGTTCCCCTTGACTAATAACAGTGATACCTTCTTGTACGGTTTGACAGTGGCCAGTGAGGGACCGCCTCCTTACTGCAACACCTGCAAAGGTCCTGTCAACGGGTCGTGTGGTCTGTTAGGAGCTGACGAGGGAACTGTTCCATCCAATCGATGTGATCTCGGACATTGCTTTACATACGTCTGGGTAGGTCAAGACGCGGCGGCCCGCGTTACATTCCATATAAGCAAATTCTTTAGAGTAACGGACTATCGGTAGTTGAAGTGGTCGTTTCGCACTCGCTCGAAAGAACGAGCGAAAGCGAAATAATACAGAGCACACGTGTATTTGGTAATATATAACAACTACAATTATTTTGGGGAATGTTTTCGATAAATCGTTATAGCCACACTGCGCAACCGTATTATAAAATGCGGATTCGGCAAGCCAACAACATTTTGTCTGTGTACCCGAACAGGCGGAAAACGATGGCAGTGTGCCGAAGGTCTGGCGCGGCTGTGGACCGGTGGCCTGCAAGAACGTCCCCGGCGCCCAGGGCTCCGTCGGGCTGTGCGATAGCGAGGACAAGTTAGAGCCGGTCGATACCAGCAGCGGCGACCCGTACACCATGATCCGCTCGTTTTCCGCGCCGGGGCCTAATGGAAAGGTACGCGCCGGCACGGTGCAGTACTGCAAAAGCGGATGGAAATGCAACTGGCGGCCCGTCAGGAATTTCCAGTTGAAACACTTCTACCCCGGACAGTCGCCGGTACACTGCTTTTGATACTAAGAACGTCGCCTTCTGCTAAATTAATCTTTTCGGCAGAAAATCTGAACTTGTTATCTGTCGTCGACGTTTTTGTAGACCGTTCAGGAAGTAGTGGATAAACTTCGTGCAGCGCCACGAAATGTTCACGCGTCTCTCACGACGGGTGAAAGGGTGGCCCAGGTCTTCCGGAATATGGATACCAATGGCGATGGCAAACTGGATGAAGCAGAATTCAGAAAAGGCCAGCATCTGTTGTGAATGTTTATCAGTTGGCAATAGACGATTCGTTTAACTATAAGCCTGCGCTGATAAAAGACTTAATAGTTCAATGCTTTTTTTTTTCTATCCATCCGTTATGTAATGAAACGACTTACAGAAATAATTACGTCAAACTGATGGAATCCACGAATGTCATGTTGATGCGCGATGTGAAAGCGAGGAAATAAAATAGAATCAAATCAGAAGGATCGGCGATGAATGTCCAAGTAAACTTCTATGACAACGGCGATAAAATCAAGACAGCCGACAACTACTGTATTAAAGCAAATGTCCGGGATTATACTTGGTTGGATTCATGTGATAAACTGTCTTCGTTCCCAAGCCTTCGCATCACGGTGAAAGTCAGCCACATTTCACAACAGCATAGTAGTTGGTGACATTGATTTCCTACCGTGCTGACGGTCGGCAATGCGAGTTAGCTCGCTAAGATGCCTAGTCGGTTCGCAGCATTACCATAGCCAGACCAGTGGACCCATTTTCATGCTTGCATTTTAGATGGTTTAACGACCGAAACATCCGCTCCGAGCTACCTGCCGCTGTGGTCCGTTTCGTGCGTGCTCTGAATGCAAAAAATGGTAAAGTTTCTTAATTCACAATTTGTCGGGATCGACAATGTCAACTTACAGCCGGCAAGTACTGCTTTAAAGCACACTTCCGGGAAAGCCTTGATTGCGATGGATTTTGGCGATAAAATTGTTTCCCTTCCCAGGCATTTTTTTTTTATCACAGCGACAATCAGCCGCTAGCATTTTTCCAGCAGCATAGTAATCATCGACAACGATCTGCCAATAGTAGGCCCAATACACCTACATATTATAACAACATGCTACAACTCTTGCTAAGCATTTGCGATTTATTTTTCATAGACACAACCGTTAGCGGTATTAAGAAAGCCGCAAACATGAAATTAATTATGTTTTTGACGTTTTTCTGCCTGTTGGTCCTTGCTGCCCATTTTTCGGCAGGTAAGAATTACACTGTAACGAAAATAAGCGAACGAGTATACGAGTATCACATCAAATATCAGGGATTCAGTATACTGAAAAACTCAGTACCTTAAATGAAGAAACTGTTTAAGTAAAGCCGTCCCGACTATTCCTGCTCTTTTCCAGAATTTTGCTCTTAATCGTAAACATTTAGATTTTAGTTATCTAAAACTTACTTAGCCGAAATTCTTGATTTTTTTATGGAAAGCTGCGCATATAACGTGTGACAAGAAAGTAAAAAATATTTACTACAAATCGGCAGCTCAAAAAGTAGAAAATCAAATTATTACAAAACGCGGAAACGGAACAGTGCGTATAAATCGCCAGCACGGGGTGCGAACAGAGAAGTGTTTGTGCGCGCCTGTATGTGTTGCGGCAAAGCACCTACTTAATTTTTGTTCTATGGTTTGCATTCATATGTTAATATGCTCCTTTCGTAGCATTGGAAGCGGCAGTATCCTGCTACCATTGCGACAGTCATGCCGGCATGGCGTGCGGACTGACTGCCGACTGGAGATTGTCCGATCTGGAGAAACGTGTCAAGCCGTGTCCGGACGGTTTCTGCTACACATACGAAAGTGTAAGAATAGCCCTTATTGTCACGCGTTAATGGATTCCTTAATTAGGCTCTACTGCTGTTTTGCTACAGAGTGAAGTATTTGCCGGGAAACGTGAGTGGCGCACTGGGAACATGTTAAGCCGGTTATGTTATCTGTATGTTCGGTAACATTTCTAGCTTTTCGTAGAGTTTAATGTCAAGCGCGGTTGTGGTCGGCTGCCGTGTGACGATCTACCTTACAAAGGAAACGTTTCCGCACTGTGTGACGAAGACAAGGAGGGCAATCGGAAAGACAAAAATCTTCCTTCTGGTCCGCCGTTTAACCAGCTGTACACCTTCACCGCCGAGGCGCTGACGCAGACCGGTCGACTGCAGTACTGCGATACCGACCGCTGCAACAAAGAACCCACCCATTTCGCTCTGGAAACGGAATGTAAGTTGTACAGCACATCAACAGTATAAAGGCTGATTTTTTCTAATCGTAGTATTGTGTGTGTCAATTATCTGACTTGTGAATCCATAATGCACCGATCCGAGCAGCCCGGTTTACCAGCGATGCGGATATTTTCCGGGCAAACTGTTTGCTGCGTTCAAGAATTGTCGTATTACCGATTTCTTTTACAAGGTATATCTACAAATAATTATAATGACGATTTGTTCTACGGTTTAACAGTGGCCCATGAGGAACCGCCCTATTACTGCATCACCTGCAAAGGTCCGGTCAACGGCTCGTGCGGTCTCTTAGGCGCCGGAGAGGGCTCGATCCCGTCCGATGCTTATCGGTGCCATCCCGGCCACTGCTTTACATACGTTTGGGTAGGGGGTGACAAAGTATTAAATGTACAAGCTGAGCTACAAAGAAATATTACATGCATTCAGTACTCTTAGTATTTACTACGTGTATTTATTGCTAGTTCAAGCCTGTCCGGGAATTCAGCACGTAAAGATACCGCTGATGCATATTTAGCGCTTATTGTTAGGACGATGGCCCCTACACCACAGTATTCACACTAACGAATTTAACATCTGCAGTGAACAAATTCTAGTTTCTTTTGCTTTTGTAATTATGTATTATATTTAATTATTTATAACCTTCCAAGATTTATTTTATAAAATTTTTTGGCTTTCACCAACCATACCAAGTGCAGGTAACGCTTAAACACTGAGACGTAACGCGCCGGAGTGCGCAGTCCATGAAGCTAAATTTTTCGCTGTATTTATCCGTCTCCATGCATCATCCGGACGGGCTTGTACAAGTACTTCTCTGTACATGTGTATTCAGTAATATTACGAGGATCATCATTTGGAGGGTTGCTTTAAATAAGCGGCCAGCCACCTCATTTTGCCGTTTTACCAGCAGTCTCATTCTGATACAACAGCTAGCGAAAACATTTTTTGTGACACCTCCAGGCGGAAGACGATGGTACCATGCCGACCAGACCTGGGCAGTTATGGAATTTCAGCACATAGTTAGAGTTAAGAGTTAATCGCAGGTCGCGAGTTAAGTTAACGAGTTAAGTTAACGGCAACAACTGGAGTTTCGAGCTTTAACGCGAGTTAAGTCGCAATAAAAAAATTTCGGCACTTTATTAATCATCTTCAATCAACTATCTCATACGCGTACCGGTATCGCTACTACCAGATTCAAAACAGATCGTTATTAACTTTTTTTATAAGAACTAATTCTTGAAAATTTACCAGTACAACAAGCCCCTTTGGGACCCAGGAGAGCGCCAGCAACGCCGAAATTTTGTACTACCGTTTTGCTCTACATGACTGCCGAAGTTAGTGTAGACTACAACATTAAGATTATTAATTCGCTTCCCCAATAGACAAGTAGCGGAGACGCAAAAAAGACAAATTTTCGTGTGATTTCTTTGCCGAACATTTATTTGGTTCTCCCGTTGACCGAAGCTTGCTCCGTAAGAAGTTCCCTAAAGTACTCCACGCCGTTTTCTGCACGCTGCTATAGCTTTATGGGCCGACGCCGACGCACCCGTATTAGTCGCCGTCGACATGCTTGCATCATTATGCGACCCACCAATATTCATCGGTATTTAAAATTACAGTTTTACGGCAGGACAAAGGCGGGGTGATTTTTTCTACAAAGAACAAGAGGTTTAACCAAAATATCCGGAGAAAACTACTGTACTGTAGAAATCCTTAACCCATGATTACCGGTACCTCGTACTTTTATGTTAAGCCCAGATTAAACGACCACAGTTAGCAACATACCAGTAAAGTCGAAATCAGCGCATATATTAATAGTTAGCATGCAGTCGTCGACGCATATTCATATATATAGCCATTGCCATGGGCGGTCGTAGTGTACATTGGTTAAACAATTTTGTGCATAAAGACGTTCGCAATTATGGAAATTTAGCGATCCACGTTCAGAGCAAATTTTTTTATAACATTTTAACTTCATTTTTGCTAGCAACTGGAATCCGCAGAGTTACGCTAAACTTGAGTTGCGCTATATTATTTTCGAGTTGCGCTAGAGTTAAGTTTTCGTTCTGGCGAGTTAAGTTTCAAAGTTAAGTTATAACTCGTTAACTCGAAAAAAACTCGCGTTATGAAATAGTTAAAATTAACTGCCCAGGTCTGATGCCGACGGTCTGGCGCGGTTGTGGACCGGTGGCCTGCAAGGATATTCCCGGCGCTCTCGGCTCCGTTCGCCTGTGCGATAGCGCGGATAAACTGGAGCAGGTCGACACCAGCAACGGCGCCTCGTATACCAAGGTTCGCTCATTTTCCGCGCCGGGCCCCAATGGAAATGTACGCGCCGGCACGGTGCAGTACTGCAAAACCGGCACGAAATGCAATCGGCAGTCCGTCAGAAATTTCCGTCTGAAACGCTTTTACCCCGGACAATCGCCGGTAGGCTGGACTTTTTTAATTAGAACATAATCCATCGACCACAGTAATGTTTTCGATGAGAACGTTAACTTGGTGTTTGCTGTCCACGTTTATAGACGGTTCAACAAGTGGTGGACAATCTTCAACAAGCGCCGAAAAATGTTCGCGTGTCTCCACCGACGAACGAACGAGTTGCACAGGTCTTCCGCAATATGGATGCCAATGGCGACGGCAAACTGGACGAAACGGAGTTCAAAAACGGTCAACATTTGTTGTGAATATTTGATTTGGCAGTCAACAGCCCGTTCACTTAACAAGAAGGCTGCCGTAGGAAATTAAAATGATTCAGTACTTTTCCAAAACTTTTCGCTTATTTTTTTGCTAATGTGATGGAACAGCTAGCGAAAAATATCCCACAAAAGTGTCTCAATCGACAAATAGGCCATGGTAATTGGTACTCAGTGATGCCCTTATAAAGCAGAAATCGTGAAGGCAAAGGAATAATTATAGTGCTAAATCCGAATGTTATGATAACGACGATAAAGTCATGACAGTCGGCAAGTGCAGTACTAAAAAACTAGCCAGCTGCAAGTATTGTACAGTATTGGTGCATTCATGCTCAAGAAAATAAGAAGTTTATCTTAGCCTCCTTGTATGTAGATTTCGCAGTTTAAAATCAAAAACGAAAATACAGAATTCAAATTCGTATGAAATGCCTCTTGCATATTATAAAAGTTTTATTCGACAATAGCCAGTATCTCGAAATATCCAGTACCATAATAATATAGTAATATTATGATCATATTAAGGCTACCAAGTGGCTGCAGATTTTATTTATATGTAATCAGTGCACACATCTGGTAAAAGAATAAAACAACACGCGATATTATTCACAACAGCAAAATTTCATCAAACGTAGCTTGTCTGTAAACAATGACTGCCTGCGTAAACATCGAATAAAATTGCAGCTTCCATTAGAAGCGCGTACGGCTATAAGGGCAGATTAGATAGGTAATTTTGGATGCCCACATTTTGCAGTTCGTTAGGGAAAGGTCAACCCATAGAGTGCGTAAATTGGAGGATTTCGTCCGCCGCCACTGTAATTTGTGCACACCTCAACACGCACAGCACAACACAACCTTACTTGTTAAATACCACACACAACGTACAACCACGCTGCGAGTACCACAAATCCTTCACGCCAAGTTGTCACGACCTCGTACACTCACTGACTGACCAAAACAACAAGCGCTCCTAATACTTCAGCTGGCGTTGCTACGCCCCAGAAACGTACACGCCATGTGGGGAAAAAAAACCGCGAAGAAACGTACACGCCATTCAGTACAGTCCGCGCTGACGCTGACTATCCTCTCCGGATGGTCAGCCAGCGACAGCCGTTTTGCAAAATCTTCGACCAGAGTCCGTTGGGACTGAACTCGCACAGTTGGCTCTAACCTGCGCACAACGCTTGATCCCATAGTCGTTTCGTTCGCGATTATTGCCAACGTGCTTCTGCTCCTAACGTAAGCAACCAACAAACAGACGAAGTCGTGGGGGGTATGGATTTATTAATCCCATGGGCAGCAGTACTACCATCCAACAGAAACTGACAAAACACAATCGGATGCTGGGCAGTCTGACCCTTCACAGGAAAAACAACAACGGAAAAAAAAAGCAAGGAAATATCCGCTAATGAATCAAAATAATCGTAGCAAAGACGCATCACATCAGACCGAAAACAACAGCAATTATCGAAAAGCATGGAACTTGCAGGGCGGGTGGGCGGAAATAAAAAATGCGTTGAAGTGAAGGCTCCGCCGATTGCCGCTGTTGCTTATATGGTGACCCGTATCCGGAATACTGAAACTGTTAGGTCACGATCCGGTTGTCAATAATAAGCAGATTTCTCCCTGCCAGAGAAATCCTTCACATTATTGCCAACGTGCTTCTGCTCCTAACGTAAGCAACCAACAAACAGACGAAGTCGTGGGGGGTATGGATTTATTAATCCCATGGGCAGCAGTACTACCATCCAACAGAAACTGACAAAACACAATCGGATGCTGGGCAGTCTGACCCATAACCCCAACGCCTCGTCATAACAACCCACTGGAAAGAATCTGACCGAACTGCTCACGTAGCTCATTGTCGCGTGCAATATAGCGCTTATAGCAGTCGCTGCGCCAGTTGCCCTGTGCCTTAATGGCTGCTTCCGATACTCCGGCTTGATCTGCAAACGTTGCACCACCCCTGCGAAAGGAGTGGGCGGAAAAGAGTGATGCATCTATGTTGGCCTTGTCCAACAACCGCTTTAACTGCCTGTTGAAGCTGTGTGCTGACAACGACACCCAGTCCCGGCCAGTGCGAAAACGAAATACTGAATCCTGAGGACATGTGGTTCTTTGCTCATCCTGCAGTAGACGCAAATTCGTAACGGGACACAGATAAACGCTGCTTTCATTCGGATGCAATGTGATTGTCATGTCTTGAGCTTTAAATTTAGCCGTTTTCATAACGGGGACTGTGAGAATTACACTGCCTCTGCCGGAAAACTCCACACGCTGCCAAGTCAGGTGCTGTGCAGTCTGCTTCTGCTTTACAAACAAATTTGCCTGCCGAAGAAGTGAATAAAATGCCACAACGCAAGCTGTCCAGAAACACAGCCTGGCGTGCGGTTCGATGGCTGCTAAAGCGGCGTACAATGCATGAAGGTGATCAGCCGTGATTGGCAAACGCTGGAAAGGTCGTTCAAGTCTGCTGCGCTGCAAGCCTGTCAGTGCTTGCCTGATTGAAAAATGCGAAAGGTCAGGTGCTTCCATGCCATTTATATTATGCAGTAAACTCAAACTCGACACGTAATTCTGCACTGTGGCAAATTCCAGGGTCTCTGCTAGGTATGCAATGTACAAACAAATAGTATGCGTATCCGCCGGAAGCGGTGGGAAATTGAATTCACTGCAAAACACGAGGTACCGTTTCCACTGAGACACTCTGGTCTTCTTCGAGGTATCTGCGATAGCTGCGCTCTGCAAAATTGCAAGCTGTTTCTCCAGTCGTTCGAGTTGGATACTGCTCTGCGTGGGTAAGTGGAAGGCTTGCATACTGTGACCTGCAAAATACAGAGAAAAATCTGCTAACTTCATTGTCAGAAATGGCAACACGGCTCAGTGCATCTGCAGCCGTGTTATCCAGTCCCGGTTGGTGTTCTGCTGTCAAGCGGAAATTATGCCTGAGAGACTGGTAGAAGACTATCTTCAACCACTGCAGCGCTTCCGCGTTGCGAGTTGTCCCTCTATTCAGGAACGATACTGTTGCTGCATTATCAGAAACAACAATGATCTGCTTATCTTTTAATTCCTCGGACCAGATTAAAACTGCCATGCATGCTGCTATTAACTCTAAGAAGTTAATGTTGTCCCTCAAGGAATCTGACACATAAGGGGTCGTCGCCCAGTTGGCTGCCATGCGGGTGTTGACCTGTTTTCCTGCTGCTTCCAACTGCCCGCCATATACCGGTTCTCACATACCGCGCCGAAACCTTGAAGCGACGCGTCCGTGTAAATTTTTACTGCATCTGCTTTCAGATTAGGCCATCGTACCAAGCCGTTCACTCTCCCTGCGAAACAATGCCACCATTTTAAAGTATCTGCTAGGACTGCCGTCACTCGCGTTCGATGTGAGGGAGCGTCCAATTCCTGTATGCGGTCGAAAAATAGCCTTGAAAATGTCCGCGCACCGTATACGGCACGAGATACAAACGACATTAAACCTGCAATAGACTGCAACTCTCGTTTGGTGACCTTTAACCGTTTGCTAAACTGCAACGCTAAACTGCTTAATTCGTGCATTTTTTCTTGCGGGACTGCTAAACACTCTGCTACAGAATCAATGATGATCCCTAAAAACTTCACTTTCTGCGATGGGCTGATTAGTTTATCCCATTTTACTGCAAAACCTAGCTGCACAAGAAGCGCGATGAGCGCTTGCTGGGCTATTCTGCATTCCTCTTCGCTTTCTGCGATAAGGATAAAATCGTCAAGGTAGCATACGATTTTAAAACCCCTTCTGCGCATTGCCCGTGTAATTGCTGCCGATATCGTCTGAAAAATATAAGGAGCATTTGCAAGCCCGAAGCATAAAAAGTTATCCACAAAAAACTGCTCCTTGCTGTCCTTAAATTGCCAACGAAACCCCTGCAACTGCCGGTGCGGTGGATATACTGGTACCCACCGATAAGCCGACTGTATATCCACAACTGCAAAATATGATCCCCTTTTGCTAATTGCGAGAACTGAATCAATTGTGTCAAATTTAAAAGGTTCCGGGTTGATGTGCTGATTTAGCGAATTGCCTGCTGGTCGTGAACAATCAGTTATGGGTCTAAAGGCATCTGACCCGGACTTCGAAACTGCGCCGATAGCGTGAATACGTTTTGGTTTTTCTGTCTGCTGTGTGATTCTGCCGAGTGAAATTTCTTCTGCGAACAATTTATCGAGATAACACTTTGCTGCTGGTTCATTTGCACTTCTATAATTCACACAATCAACAGGATCTATAACATCCGCGTTCTCAACAATGCGAAACCCGTACGCAATTCCGGTTAAAATAAACTCACAATCAGGGTCATTAACCAACATATTCTGCCAGGCATCGAAATGTTTAGTTAAATTGCATCTGCTTAATAAATCAGGATCACAAACAAGGAAAGCATTGGTAAAACTACTTCTCATAGCTGCGTTATCGAAAGAATCTGAGGGAACATTAGTAGAAACGTTTAAAATGGAAAAACTTCCGTTAGTAATGCTGCGTTCCTCCGTCTTCCCTTTACTGCCCGTTCTGCTATCCCTGTCCCACGTTGATGCACTTGGAGAAGGGATGCTTCTTTCCGCATTCTCCGCATATGTGCCGGTATCCGCAGTTTTCACGCCGGCAGGTAGTGTAGTTGTAGTCGAAACACACATTGGTGATCCGAAATGGCTGCCTCCCTGAATTACTGCTCTTCTGCTTCTGCTGCTGAAGCCCTCTGCTGTTCCGGTATGGTTCCGCTCGACGTGTATCTGTGCGGCGTGTTTCGGAATTCATGCGGTTGTCTGCAATGCATAACTGCTGCTGCTTGTCATTTAGCGAAAAATGATCACTATCTGCATATCGTCGGAACTCGTCGTCGAATAACAATACTGCCTCATCTTCGTATCTGCATCGTCTTCCTGCGAGAAATTCTTGATACTCTAAGAATTCGACCAATGTTGCTGCATACCGCCCTGATACATGCTTCGCCAAACGTACTGCCGTTCTCAAATTACCCAGAAATAGCTCGTGACAATTTATATCCGTCGCTACCAAATTTTTCTTTTTCTTAAATAAACCCTTTGGCAAAATAAATGTATGCGGTCTATCAAGGTCTCTCGCTCTTATTGGCAACTCGCGACGTGCTGAATCCTTATCCTCGTCATCGCTCGAATCACTACTGCTGTACTCACCCGAATCGTTCCGGTCCGAGCCTCGCAGCGACCTTCCGCCCCTTGCCGGTGCGTCCCTCTGTCCGTCCCGGTTATCCCAGTCCTGCTGGCCGTCGCGAGGATCCAAAGGCTGCTGAGTGTCGAGGAAACGGATCTTGTGCTGCTCCAACTGCTTCCGCTGAATGATTGCGCGTGCGTCATTCGTGGTTGCCGGCTGCGGGAATAGGGCATTGCGGAGTTTGTAGAAATCCAATCCGGGTTTCATGACCTTTTCCAAGTCAGATACCTCCTTCATGTGCCGAAAGTCTGCCGGTGACTGGAAGCCGTTTGCCCGGAGTGCTTCTGAGCCGGCTTGGGAGATTTCGAGCTCTGCCATAAATACCGTAAACTGATCGGTGACACTCTTCTGCCCACTGGTAGCTTCGTTGCTCTTCTCAAACTCCTGCCTTTCTGTCAAGACTGCATGGAGTCTGTCTGCAAGCGCATCCTTTTCTCCGTTAAGGTCAAGTATGCCCAGTTCCTTCAAACGTGATTTTAGTCCCTCCACCGTATAATTCTTAAAAAGGGTATCGCGTGACTCCATAATGCTAGACTGCTGAGTAGGGGTGCAATCTGAGAACTGCCAATTATACGGATAGAGGTGAAGTATGCTAACTAATCAAACGTCTGCTGATTCGAAATCAAAATTTATAAAATTTCAAAAAATAAAAAATGCGTTGAAGTGAAGGCTCCGCCGATTGCCGCTGTTGCTTATATGGTGACCCGTATCCGGAATACTGAAACTGTTAGGTCACGATCCGGTTGTCAATAATAAGCAGATTTCTCCCTGCCAGAGAAATCCTTCACGTTTTATAGCAACCGTATTTGAACCATCGCGTGCACATCCCACTTTTTTTGAACAATTTGTCTTTTTTTTTGAACAATTTGTCCCATGAAAACTTGTCTTTTCGTTTTGACCACTACCTTTATCTTTTTGACCAAGAATTTTCCTTTCACTTTTGAGAAAAATTTCCCTTTCATTTTTGACCATAGAGTCACCCTCCCTTTTTTTGACCACCCCAAAATCCCTTCCTTTAATTGTTTCCTCCTTTTGACTCTGCCCCAATTTTTTCACCAACTCGCGATCGTGGCCTTGTACCGCAATCTGAGTTGAATAAAGACAATTCAACACATTTCAGTGCATAATTTTCAGTCGGTTTGACGACCGAAACATCCGCTCGATCCGAGCTGCTGTTGTACACGCTGTACTCCGTTAAGCGTACCGTACACGGGCTTATAACTGGCAATTTCTCAGGACCGGTAATATCAGCGAACATCCAACAGGAATTGTAGCATGTTATATAATATGTAAGCGTATTGACATTTTACAGATTGTTGTATCACTTCTTGTCACCGATTACTATGCTGCTGCAAAAACGCTAACGGCTGATTGCCATTGCGATAAGTTAGCCTGGTAAGGAAACTGGTTAACGCAAAAATCTTTCTGACTGATTTTATGGATTTATGCTTTGATACAGCCAAGCGTCTGTGATTTGTTTTACGTAAACCGTTAACTAAAGCCGCAAACATGGAAAGTACGTTTTTGACGTTTCTTTGCCTATTTGCCCTTGCTGTCCATTTTCCGACAGGTGAGAATTACACGGTAACGAAATCAAGCGCACGAGTATAGGAGTATGACATCAAATATCGGCATACTGAAATCAGTAGTAAAGAAACTGCTTAAGGAAAATGGCCCGGTGCATAACGTCAAAAATGGAGTACATACACTAAATATCACACTGCACCCGGACTACTCATGTTCTTTGCCAGAATTTTGCTCATAATCGTAAGCATTCAAAGTTACTAACCTCAGCTTACTAATCAAAAGCTTTCGATTTTTTATAGAAAAAGCAGTACGTATTACATAACATAACTTTAGACGGGAAGAGTAAAAATAATCACTAGAAAATGGTCAGCCGGTCGGCGGCTCGAAACTTCGAAAATTAAATCGATAAAAAACGCGCAGACGGCAGCCAATCCAGTGTGCATAAATCGCCAGCGCTGGCCGGTGCGAAGTACGAGCAGAAGAACTGGTTGTTTGCGCAGTGTGCTTAGCAACACAGCATTCGTTTCCGTCCTAAACCTTGTACACTCTCAAACTTCCATGTTTTTTTTTCCGTAGCACTGGGAGCGACAGTGTCCTGCTACCACTGTAACAGCCATGCCGGCATGGCGTGTGGACTAACTGCCGACTGGAGCGTGTCCGATCTGGAAAAGCGTGTTAAACCGTGCGCGGACGGTTTCTGCTATACATACGAAAGTGTAAGAATGACATCCTTATTGTATATAGTGCACTCCCAACGGACGGTATTTAATCTGCTATTGTTGTTATGCTAGAGTGACGTTTTTGGAGGGAAAAGTGAGTAGCGTCCTATCACATGTTCCTCTGGTTAGGTTACGTCTGGAAATACAGTATCCCTTTCTTTGCAGACTTTAGAATTCAGCGCGGCTGCGGCCGGCTGCCGTGTGACGATCTTCCTACAAAGGCAACATTTCTGCACTGTGTGACGTAGACAGCAATTATCACCGGACAGACAAGAATCTTCCGTCTGGTCCGCCATTTAATCAACTGTACACTTTCACAGCCGAGGAGATGCCGCAGACCGGTCGACTGCAGTACTGCGATTCCGACCGCTGCAACAAAGAGCCCGTGCACTTCGCTCTGGAAACAGAACGTCAGTTGTATGTATGGAGGCCATAAGGGGACGGTACATGTGCCACTCACTTAATAAAGTGATGATTAAATTCGTGTACGGTTTGACAGTAGCCAATGAGGAATGTCCCGATTTGTGCATCACCTGCAAAGGCCCTATCAATGGGTCGTGTGGTCTGTTAGGAGCCGGAGAGGGATTTCCGTCCGAGAGGAAGCAATGCGTTCCCGGCTTTTGCTTTACATACGTCTGGGTAAGGACCGACACGGCGGCCCACGTTACGTGCTTCGCTTATTTTAGAATTAGCTTACCGTAATTATCGAATTTGTGGCCCTGGGGTGCAAATAGTTCGAATGCCATGGCGGAGGGGGGCTTATTTCGGGGAGGGGGCGCAATTTCGGGGGGTGGCACTATTTTTCAAACGGTACATTTTGGAGAGGGGAATTATTTTTCAAACAACTGCGCATCGTGTTCTAGCGAAACTGAACGCAGTAGTTACCGGTATTATCGGCGGTATATGCAACTGCACTACCTTGGGAGCAACATTTTGGAGTGTATATCTCCTTATACAGCTGTTTGCCAACGAACACCGCATTATATTGATGTCCGTTAACTGTTTCTCATTAAATTACAACAACTTTTGCGGCTAAATTTTGCGGTATACCTATCATTTTGCGGCGCTCGACATTTATTAACGGCCCCCTGGGGCGTAATTTCGGGGGGTGGTCTTATTTTTTAAACAGGGTCGGGGAGGGGGGCTTATTACGGGGGGGGGGGGCTCTTATTGCGGGGGTGGCCCCAAATCCGATAATTACGGTATTTCAGAAGTATTGCTATTAGTATTTTTATATTTCGGTCACTTCGCGTATGCGGGAAGCGAAAACATTTTTTTCGGCACTATCAGGCGGAAGACGATGGCACCGTGCCGACGGTTTGGCGCGGTTGTGGACCGGTGGCCTGCAAGGATGTTCCCAGCGCTTTAGGCAACGTTCGCCTATGTGATAGCGAGGACAAGCTGGAGGAGGTCGACACCAGCAGCGACGACGCGTACACCAAGGTTCGCTCGTTTTCCGCACCAGGGCCAAATGGGAACGTACGCGCCGGCACGGTACAGTACTGCAAAAACGGCATTAACTGCAATCGGCAGTCGGTCAGGAATTTTCCTCTGAAACTCTTTTACCGCGGCCAGACTCCGGTAAGCGTTCCTTGGTCATCAGAACGTCTTCGATCAAATTAATATTTTCTGGGAGAAACTTAACCTGCTGTTCGTTTTCCCTGATTTTATAGACGGTTCAACAAGTGGTAGACAACCTTAATCAAGCGCCAAAAAATGTTCGCGGGACGAATACGACAAACGAACGCGTTGCTCAGGTCTTCCGCGATATGGATACCAATAGCGACGGCACACTGGATGAAACTGAGTTCAAAAATGGTCATAATGTCTAGTGAATTAACACGCTATGCGTAGAAAGCGTGTATTGCGTACGTACGTGCTGTGACGTACGTGTTATCTGTTCTGTTACGTACGATTGCTGTTCTTATCTAACGCATTTGATCACTAATTCCATTAGCGATTCTCATTGCATGTTCAGTGTGTTGGGGAGAGTGTTCGAGTCTTTGGCTTGTCGAGGGAGAAGAGTCTGAAGACTGTGAAGAAGTTAGCTTTTACTAGAATGTTGGTGTGACCTTCTGGTAGAAGGTGTTCTGTTCTGTTGATTAAACATTTGGGAAGTTCCTGAGTGTTTGGGTTTCGGTAACTTTCGTTAGGCACATCCGCTGTACCTAGCGGAAGTAGTTTTGTTGTGTACGACCACTTATCGGAGTCCAGAGTTTATTCCCACTGTACCGACTGTGTATGGTTGGTCATCGAGTACGGTAGTCGGTGCGACTTCCGTATAGCATGTCAGAATGTTGATTTCGCAATGGCCCATTCAGTTAAAGATTTCACTTCACGATAATTCTGCGCTGGTAGAAAATTAAGGTGATTCAGTTTTTTTTCACAACTTTTCGTTTATCTATTCGTCTGCTAATGTAATGGAATGACTAGCGCAAAACCGTCCGGCAAAAGTGACCCAATCGACAATATACAATACCATGGTACTCAATAGTTAGTACTGGGTGGTGTTCTTATACAGCAGAGATTGTAAAGGCAAAGGAATGAACTAGTGTTAAATCAGAATGTTAAGATAACGGCGTAGGTATGGGCGACTTCGTAAACGTTAAATTTTTCGAGGCATGCTTTGTTTTGCTTGTATCCGCAGTATCCCGCCATATGCCATGGTATTCTCTACGTATAGTTCATGATTGTATCCTCACAATTTTTTGACTTACTTTTGCTTGCTGCAGTAAAAAAAGCCTTAGACAACCTTAGAAACCTAAGAAAATTAATGGGACTCAAGGGAGAATGCACGAAGTAAGGATGCTGTGAGGATAATGGTGGATACGCTTGTTAAAACTAAAAATAATTATTATTAATGGCTGTATTACAGTAACAGATATTTGCAGTCTACAGATTGCCGAACACTAATAATGGTTGCATGCGTAGTTGCGTACCACCTTGGAAAGCCATAGCATCCTAACGTATCCTTCGGTATTCCACACATCCCACAGCAAGCTGGGCAGTGCTAAAATATTATCTGGCTGCAGGTATTGTATTGTACAATCTGCATAAATCTACGCTTTGTATTGTACGTTAAACGCGCAGTTAACTACGTAGTACGTACTAGTTACTTTGCTGTAACGAGTGACCGGTGTTGGCTCTTCTAATAAGCTCATGCCTTGGTTGGCAAAGATTCAACTCCCAAGAAAACAAGAGCTTATCCTAGCCCCATTATTATTTTTTGCAGTTTAAAGTCAAATTAAGGTCTATACAGAAATTAAACTTCTATGAAATGCCTGTTACATATAACACATATAGTATATATAAGTTACATACAACACCTATTATGTACATATAACACCTATTTACATAAGCTGTACAGAAGTTTTATTCGGCAATTTCCAGCGCCCATACAGTCTACAAATATACCCGCGCGGATTTAAAGGAATTGAATTTATCAAGTTCAGACTTTTAAAAAACATCCGTAATCGTTAGCGTCTTTACATCAGATCTGTCAGAAATACGTGGCGATTTTTTTTAAGGATGCGGAAGTCAACCGGCATATATGTACATAAAGAAACGAAACAATTTCTTTACCGGCGCGAAAATCACGATAAAAATTTAATTTATGAAAAGCAGCAGCCGATGCAGCACCAACCGGAAGCATGGATGAGTCACTGAGTAGCACATGCGCGACAGCCGCTAGCGCTGATAACCACAAACAGCGTGCTAAACATCAGCCGACTGACGTGTCGACCGTAATCTGTTTTCCGCCACGGGTCCGTAAACAAAACCTACCATTTCTAAACGGTAGAAAATAAAGTATTCTCATCTGCACCAGAACACCCAGACTTTTTCATTTCACTGAACGACGTGTCCCCTGGCGCCTTAACGATGGAGCTAGCGGGTTTTAGTGACAAGAATATTATTCTCCGAGATACAAACCAATAGTGTACTAACACGACAATCCCGTCCGTCAAATTTTTTTAAACTGATCGTTATAATTCATGCTCACTGCTCAAGATGACAAAAATCTCCGTGATTCGACGGACCCATCGCAGCGGATCGGGAAATCTGTCCACTGCCCGACTGGACCACAATGATACCTATCCTGGATGCAGCCTGGAACGGGACGCGGCCGCGAATAGTCCAGGATTTTTAGCGCTGCTTGGCCGGAATACCAATACGCTTTATACAGAGAAATTTGCAATAGTCGGCCGTGTGTTGAAAATTGTGGCATACGCCGGGATTGCCTTTGCCTTATGGTACTGGTGGTGATTCCCAAGGAATATTGCTCCGACATTCCATTCCATTTTTGCAAGTGCCTCCAGTATAATTTATTAACAACGTTGCATAACTTATTTATCCAGCAGTTGTGGCTGATCTCTGATATAAGCTTGTGCATGCGGCACTTTTGTACATTTTGTGATAGCAGATAAGGCTTTCTTTCCAGTCTGTTTTATGTAACAGTTATTTATGTCTTATAGACATTTAAGCGTTGCTTGTATGCAGCTGATAATATGTCTTATTTGTCAGCAGATATTGTGGCCATTTGTGAATAACAATTCAATAATTTTGAATTTATTACGTGCGAAAATTGCCCGAAGTACAAAATTGACACATACTTTACTTGTGTGTTTTCGTACGATGCACCAGAGATATTAATACATTGCCTACCGACATCAATATTATTTTTATTACGTGTATGAACTAGATTCAAGAAGTTCGTATTTTATTTCTATAAATACAGATATTCACATTTATCACAGTATTTACTGCATTTCTGGATTAATTGTACTTATTTATTTCTAATTAATTTTTGTACAGATATATGTGGGTGTTTATATTAATAGTAAACCAGTATTTTACTATATGAAACTTAATTTGTTTGTCAATCGAGCATATAAGAAAATTGTTCAATATAGGACAATGCGGCATTACTTCCGCTTTAATTTCCAAAGCCAAGCACGAATGCTGGTTTAAAGAGGAAATTTAACAACTAACGAAGATAAAGACGTTATTTATATAAATAGGATTACATAATTCCAATATTGTTCGGCGCAATATGAACCGCCACGCGTGGCTTGATTTCCTATCCGGATTTCCGACACAAATGACGTTGAACATTTCTCACGACGAACACCACCGTGCACAAAATCAATCCGCCACGGTCGTCGTTCCGGCTTCGCAACATGTTGATAATGAGGCAAATGTACTCACACCGTATATTTTATTTGGTATAAAAACACTGGCGAATTATGAAAATATGGGAATGCCGCAGGCGCATCTGATTCAGAGACGCATTAACACATTCTCGTCTTATCGCCCGTATTCAGTCAGCCATTCGCCGTATACACAACCGTTTCCTTTGTACACAAGTGCACATCGTAGAATGTGTACCTGTTTACCGAAGGGCGATTCACACTTCGCATATTACCAGCGCACAAGCGGAGAAAGATAAGAGCACTTTTCTCGTACTCAGCATACACATCACGCAAGCGCTGGTTTATTATACAGGTAACATATCGTTAATCTGACGTGAGAATCGTTGTCTCGATTAATCTGTCCATCAGCTTCGAGAAACGACATCGACTTTGATTGCTGATTAGCGTGCGTGTTTTCTACTTACACGAACAGTTCGTGTACGCATTCCTGATTAATCGCTTAAAAAAGCTGTTTTCTCGAATATTGTCTGGATTTATCGCTTTATCATCAGAGACGCTTTTAGCGTTTGCCTGTTGTACTTAATACCAGCGTCTACATTCCTGAGCAATCATTTTAAAAAAGCTGCTTGTGCGAAATATTGTCCAGTGGATTTACCGTCTTATCAGCACAGAAATGTTTTAGCGTTCTGTATTTATAATAATATCTGCTTTCTTGATAAATAAGAATTTTAGAAAGCCGTTTTTGCGAAATATTGTTCAGCGGATTTATCACTTTATCAGCAGAGACGCCAGAACTTATCAGCGACTGAACAATCGTGATTTGTACCGGTGTTATATAAGCGTGATTACGCTAATCGACGATCGAGGCAGTTTATTAACTGAATTCTGAATTCGTTCTGCGAGCAATAAACGACACTCGAACGTCAATCTGTTGGAATTTTGCTTCGACCGGAAATTGTTGGGAATCACGATGAAGATCTCTGTAATTCGACGTCGCTGCAAAACCGGGCGGGAAGTACGCCGGCTCTCGTTACCGTCGTATGGCAATCCGGGTGCCTCGATTTCCGCGTCCGTCTTAACCGACGACCGCTGTTCACCGTTCCACTATCGTCGGTCATTATCCGAGCCCCGATTCAGTGCGTCGGCTTTGGAGACCCCCGATTTCTCTGACCAGCAGCGGTTTATAATGAAGACGGCGCAAGTGACGTCCACTTCCTGGTTGTCGGAACTGGTCACTGTAAGGAATCTAGCCGCGGCGTTATCTGCGTGTGCCGCGGTCTCCGCGTCCATTCTTATGCTGATTGGTTAAATGTTATTTCCCATTCGAATCGGTGGATTCGCGGGATCTTCCGCCAGCAGAATTTGCATTATGGAGGACCAGGAAGACGGGCTGCGTTTACGGGACGCACCGAACGGAATCATTGCAGCGTGCCAAAGATATTTTATAATTGTGATCGCCGGATGATCGACAGCTTTCTCAAAGATGTGATGTCATCATTTGTCCATTGTCTTTAATTATCAGTTTAACCTCTTATCCCTGTGTTGAGTACATGTACTATTATGTTCTTTTAATCTCGTTGTGTGCTGCTGGCGGCACTTAAAGTTAATTATAAAGAGGAAAAGTAAAGTTCATCGGTATACGTATTTATCATGATTTAGGACGGTATTGTTTAGGACATTCACGTATTATTTACCGGTGCTATGGTAGTATGACGTGTGTCCAGGGACCGAAAACTGAAAAACAGCAACTTCGCAAATCGTGAATTATTCTTTATCTGGATAAGAAATTTGCCGCGAACTCATGAAAGACCTCGTTTCTAATCGCTGTGGCACAGACATCGTTATGTACCTATGTGTATCTGTATCTGAAGTTAAAAATTTTAATTAAAAATTTTAGCATTTAATGCTAGACACATGTACAGCATACTTCAAACACATGTATATGTATCTGTACATAGAATGCTAGTATAATAATATGGATGTACATATATATGTATGTATATATCTTCCATATAATATAGATATTATGTGCTTACATCTGTACAGCACGTTTTATTTTAACGATAAGTACTTACAGATATAGGTGAA